GCGCTGGGCCGACAGGACGATGGACTCGCAACCAGGAGGGACACCGGTTCGATTCCACCTCCGGGCGCGGCAGTTGACACGATAGGCGCAGGGCTTTCTTGAATCCCACAACGCCGCCTCTGCCCTCCACTCAGCAGCGACGTTCACCGCAGCTGATCGCTCGAGGCCACGGCGTGTGGTGGGGTCAAGTGTGGTGGGGTCAAGTGTGGTGGAGTAGAGTGTGGGTGGGGTAGAGAGTGGTGGGGTAGAGTGTGGTGGGGTAGAGTGTGGTGGGGTAGAGAGTGGTGGGGTAGAGAGTGGTGGGGTAGAGTGTGGTGGGGTAAAGTGTGGTGGGGTAGAGTGTGGTGGGGTAGAGTGTGGTGGGGTAGAGTGTGGTGGGGTCAAGTGGGGTGGGGTAGAGTGTGGTGGGGTAGAGTGTGGTGGGGTAGAGTGTGGTGGGGTAGAGAGTGGTGGGGTAGAGAGTGGTGGGGTAGAGTGTGGTGGGGTAAAGTGTGGTGGGGTAGAGTGTGGTGGGGTAGAGTGTGGTGGGGTAGAGTGTGGTGGGGTAAAGTGTGGTGGGGTAGAGTGTGGTGGGGTAGAGAGTGGTGGGGTAGAGTGTGGTGGGGTAAAGTGTGGTGGGGTAGAGTGTGGTGGGGTAGAGAGTGGTGGGGTAGAGAGTGGTGGGGTAAAGTGTGGTGGTGTCAAGTGTGGTGGGGTCAAGTGTGGTGGGGTCAAGTGTGGTGGGGTCAAGTGTGGTGGGGTCAAGTGTGGTGGTGTCAAGTGTGGTGGGGTCAAGTGTGGTGGGGTCAAGTGTGGTGGGGTCAAGTGTGGTGGGGTCAAGTGTGGTGGGGTCAAGTGTGGTGGGGTCAAGTGTGGTGGGGTAAGGTGTGGTGGGGTAAAGTGTGGTGGGGTCAAGTGTGGTGGGGTCAAGTGTGGTGGGGTCAAGTGTGGTGGGGTCAAGTGTGGTGGGGTCAAGTGTGGTGGGGTCAAGTGTGGTGGGGTCAAGTGTGGTGGGGTAAGGTGTGGTGGGGTAAAGTGTGGTGGGGTCAAGTGTGGTGGGGTCAAGTGTGGTGGGGTCAAGTGTGGTGGGGTCAAGTGTGGTGGGGTCAAGTGTGGTGGGGTCAAGTGTGGTGGGGTCAAGTGTGGTGGGGTCAAGTGTGGTGGGGTCAAGTGTGTTGGGGTCAAGTGTGGTGGGGTAGAGAGTGGTGAGGTCAAGTGTGGTGGGGTCAAGTGTGGTGGGGTCAAGTGTGGTGGGGTCAAGTGTGGGTGCTGTCACCACTCCCAGGTCGCCGGGGCAGCGTGAGAGAAGAACACGCGCCTCGTGCAAGTCGCAGTGACACGGGAGAGCCCCGTCATGGGCCTCCCGCGAAGCTTCTGGAACCGCAACCCTTGGAGCGCATCCACTGCACCAACCATGGCACCAGTTGATGGGGACACTTGTTGATGCTGACGATGCTGATGAAGCTGATCAAGCTGATGATGCTGATGATGCTGATGATGAAGCTGATGATGCTGATGATGCTAATGATGCTGATGATGCAGGATCAGCAGCAGCAGCAGCAGCGTGAGGCGAGCGATTGCAGGGCTGCGCCTTTATCCACACGGCCCCTTCACGCCGGTTTGTTTTCCTCCCCACTCGTCAAAAAACCGAGGCCCGAACAAAGTAGCCGCAGATCCGGAGGTGAAGAAGTCGGAACGAGAAGCAAATGAGACGGGCAGACGAAGCGAAGCTTTTCCGTTTTGCTTTAAGAACGCGTCCACGGCACGGCACGGTAGAGCACACGACGCAGCAATCGACACGGTACATGAACAGTCCACACAACAGGCACTTGAGGTAAAGCATATACTGCCTATATATATTGATAATGTGCGCGCGCGCGCGTGTGTGTGTTATATGCATACAATACAACGTCGCTATTACAAACCGCCGGGGGGGGGGGGGAACTCAGGAATATCGACGGACATGTGAAACGATTTGGACGTCTGTAGGTCACATGGCAGTCGCCACACCGACCCGCACAAACACTCGCCTGTCGCTGGACGCAACCCGAAGTTCAACCCCCGTTCGTAAGCACCGGGATGACGCAATTTGGGGTCGCGGACACAGTTCCCCGCGCGTAGCCTCAGCAGAGCGCTGCGTAGGTAAGAAGGTCGCCACGGTAGCAAGCGAGGGGGGGGGGTGGCCAGGACCACGGCAGCCTTTGTCGCGCCAGTGCTGGCGATGTTTAACCACATACCGCTACACCAGCCACTCACTTAAGGCCGAGTCGATCCTAAGGCAGAACCAGGAGCGATTCAGATCATCGTCGCTGGTGTTGGTGACCGTGAGCAGGACGCGAACTGGGGTGGCCGGGCTTGTAGTGGAGCCCTCGAGCCACTCGGGCAGCGTTCCGCACTCGTTTTCAGAGAGCGGAGGCCACTTTGGGCGATGAGACATCATCAGCGTGGGGGCAGCAACACACGTGGGACCATTGGGGGCTTGTGACAGCAGCAGCACGATGACGATGATGATGATGATGGGGTTGTGTGTTCACCATTTGTGTTTTGTCGGGGGGGGGGGGGTGGCGCGCATGCCAGGGGCCGCACCTAATGCCCCCGCGGCTCCCCAGTGGCCCCCGAGGGCGTCGCGATGCAGATCGCTGCGCCGGACGAGCGGTGCCCACACAATTGGGAGCCAAGCAGCAGCGACATCGCCTCCTGCTGCCAATACCTACCGCGACCGGGAGCCTCCTGGGAGAAAAATCTTGAGACTCAGTGAGGCTTTCCTCGTGAAACGGCGAATAATGTCGAAAGAACGCGAGTCGGATGCAATGCGACGAATGTGTGCGAGATTCAGAATGCAGTTCATCGCGAAAGGGTCCGCGACGTGAACATCGAATGTCAATCTGTTCATGTGTCGCGCTTTCAGATGCGCTTCTGCGGCCGTCAGGAACGCTCTTCCTTCCGATATCAGGAAGCCACTGCGCACTTTTAAATCATCATCATCATCATGTAGATTGACAAACTCATTTCTTTTGAACTCTTTTTTGCGTCTAGGTTGTTTGTCCTTATCTCCCGCACCTCCGATTATCGCGGTTGGCCACGTACGCTGCGACAGCAGTGCAACGTCCACACGTGAAGTGACCGTTACACCGCGCACACACTGACTTCTCTGGGGGTGGGCGGTTAATTGGTCAGGGTGGTCGGATATGCGACGTTGTGTCGTACACAGTTGCAGTATGCATGAGGGCAGGGGGGTTGGGGCGTGTGAACTTAAACGGAGCTGATCTTTGGAATGGCAACATTCTGGGTGTGCGGCAGTGGAGCGCGCGTGGAACGACGGCCGTGCGAGTGACTGCACCGATTGCGGAACATTCCACGCGACCATCGGTGAGTGGAGCTGCGGATCGGATTGCATCTCCTCGCAGCGCGGTGGCCCAGTGGTATAACGTTCGTGCCTCACAGCGATAAGGGCCTGGGTTTGACTCCCGACTCGGACCACAATTGATGTGTGTTTGGAGTCTGTATTCTCTCCCACTGTTCTGCAACGGGCTTTCCTCCGGCTTCTCCAGTTTCCTCCCATAGCAAAACAAACAACAACAACAACAAACAACAACAAGACCCCGTATGCATTGTAACTGTTATTGGCCCAAACGTTCCAATGTTGAAAGTTGACCTGAAAATTGGTCACTTGTGATTTAGACAAAGCAGCAGCAGCAGCAGCAGCAGCATTTCCCTCTGCTGCAAACCCAACCTGGCAGGACCCTCTCGATAGAGAGTCTTGAGACTCGGCGAGGCAGGCTTTCCGTGGCCAACAACCGTGATGATGATGATCATAATAATAATACTAATATATATTCGCTGCTTTTCATCAGAGTTCCCGCGATATTATACGGGGGATTTATTTATATAGCAATAGATTAACATTCTTTTTTGTACATTTTCTTCAATATTTGTACTGTATGCTTTTCAAATATATTATGATTATTATTAAAGAACATTTTCAGATATAAAATACGCAGGCGTACATTATTAAACGTGGATATTTAAGACGGCAAAATGACACGCACACACACAAAGATAAAGACCTCCCGTATAGCCTTAACCGACTCTAGGAGCAAGTGCTGTTTGCGAATAACACCAAGGGAGGTGCGTGGCCAGCAACCACGCCCGGCCGCCTTTGTCTTCCCAATGACGATGTTTACTACACACGGCACCAGGTACTCATTTGAGGCTGAGTCTACCTGGTGGAGGCCCAGCACAGGTTCACATTCTGCTGTTGGCCGTGAGCGGGAATCGAACTCGGCCCGCCGCGCCACATCACAAATGCGATCGATCGAGTCTCAGCATCTGCTGCGATTCTCGCCTCTTGGCCAATGGGGTAATTGTGACATCCACGTCCAATGCCAGAGCCCGCTGCTCACATGAGCACTGATGCACTGGGTGCTCATTTCCAGTCTACGGCCATGCAGAGCCGATGGGGGAAATTCCACATTCCTCTGGTGGGAGGGGAGGTGGGCGATTCGATCCAAATGACAACCACTGTTGACTACCCTTTTACAAAGTGCTGCTCACATAATATCGTCCCCGGAGGGATGGATGATGGACTCCCCCCCCATTCCCCCGCCACTCCCCACAAAATACAAAGACAAAGATCCCCCGTATAAACCTTAACAGATTGTAGGGGCAAGTGCTGTTCGCGAGCACCAATGAAGGCCAGAACGGCACACGAGGGGGTGGGTGGCCAGCACCACGCCCGGCCGCCTTTGTCTCCCAAGTGGAAATGTTTTCACGCACCGCACCAGGTAATAATTTGAGGCTGAGTCGACCTAGGAGAGATCCCAGAACCGGTTAAGATAATCGTCACTGATGTTGGCCGTGAGCGGGAATCTAACTCAATTCGCCGGGTTCATAGCGCAGCGCGCTAACCGCTACACCACCGCTCCACCCCCCTCCCCCTCCCCCCCACTCCCCCTCCCCCTCCACCCCACTCCCCCTCCCCCTCCACCCCACTCCCCCTCCCCCTCCACCCCCCTCCCACCATCAACCAGGATTTGGATTCGTGACCTTCCCCATCGCGAGCCTCTCAGAGGCTCTGCCGCTGAGCAGCCGCCTGCTCGGGTTCGAGTGATGAACAACGTTACCGCATTCTCCAGAGAACACGGTGCACTCGGTCACCCCCCTCCCCCAGCCACCACCACCCTCCCTGTGAATTCAAAGTCATGATTGTGGGCGGCGGTGCGTCTTATAATCCGGTAGGTGAGCGCGCGCGCGCGTGTGTGTGTCGGTGGGGAGCGGTGGGGTAGAGGTTGGCGCGTCTGGGATACGCATCCGGCGGACTCGTCGGGTTCGATTCCCGCTCACGGCCAACACCGGTGATGATTATCTGAACCGGTTCTGGACCTCCCCTAGGTCCACTCTGCCCTCGAATGAGTACTTTCAGCGGTGTGAAAACATTGTTACTGGGAAGACAAAGGCGGCCGGGCCGAGTACTGACCACCCACCCCCTCGTGCGCCGTGCCGCCTTTCGTAGGTGCTACTCGCTAACAGCACTTGCCCCTACATTATTTTAAGGCTAACGGGCGGGGGGGGGATCTTTGTCTTTGTGACCACATTAGTTTAACTTTGTTGACAACTCTGGGCACGAGTTGACAAGCTCTCGGTGCGTCATCCTCCCAAATCTCCGGACCGTTTGTGTTTTTGTTTTACAATCGGGAGGAGAGGGTCACAGAGTGCGTGGCCGCCGCGGTCACGCCGAGGGACAGAGTCATTAGCCGGGCCGCTACTTGTTTAGTGCCAAACACAACTTGTTTTCAAAGCTAACGAAGGTAACCACAGCGACGTCGACGCCACACGTGGGGGGCAGGGAGCGCCATAAATCATCATCATCGTCATCCAAGAGGGGCCCACTTGCGTAAAGGTCGCGTAGTAAAAACATCGTGTTTGGTCGCAACAATTCTTTGTTACGTTTTTAAAAATAGTTTTTATGCTTCGATGTTTCATTCGGTCCGGCCGTCTGCGTTCGTGAAACACTAAAACAAGCAAATAAATTCCGAATTCAACTGGAAACTTCCACTACATCGTCAATCCAGCAGTGGATTGATCATCGATCTGTCTCCCTCCTTGCACCCCTCTACTGGAATCAACGTCACCTGCCCATTGAGCAGCATATCCCATAGACTTAGCACTACACCATAGACTCAAGCCTGCCCATCGACTCAACACTGCCCATCGATTCAACACAATCCATTGACTCAACACTGCCCATAGACTCAACGCTGCCCATAGACTCAACACTGCCCATAGACTCAACACAACCCATTGACTCAACACAACCCATAGACTCAACACTGCCCATAGACTCAACACTGCCCATAGACTCAACACAACCCATTGACTCAACACAACCCATTGACTCAACACTGCCCATAGACTCAACGCTGCCCATAGACTCAACACTGCACCATCAACTCTCTTGAAGCCCTTCCTATTATCTCCCGATCGCCCTTCCACTCCTTCCCGTCCCTCCCCTATCGCCCTTTTCGTGACCCCCACGTGTCCTCTGTCACGGTCACTCATTCCTCGGCCTTCGAACGCCCCATTGCCATCTAAGTCACTCCACCGTAGTTCTCGCTGTTGCTCGTTCATCAGAGAGCGCCTTGAGTTAAGGTGCCCTATACAATCAGACGAAACCCTCCCAAAACGAACCCTCTCACGTGTCTCACGGCGGTGGCGCAACAATCTACCTGGCACCCACGCTCGCGACAGCTGATTTCGCCGCTCCATCTCTATCGGCGGGGTCCTCTGTCTCGGACGCGACCCGCTCCTTTGACTGCAACTCCTGTCCACTCTTGCCCATCATCTCCATCCTTGCCAACCCACGGCGTGCCCTGCCCAGCCCCAAGCGCTCCTCTCTAGGATATCGAAATCCTCGTTATTATTTTAAGCACTGGGGGAACGCACCTTCGCGAAGCACACAAGGGATGCCCCGAAAGATATTCCTCTTATATTTCTCAATATATATTTGATTCTCAGTGGAACAGATACAGAACAGATATTCGCTTGTACCAGTGTGGAACTAGGCCTATTAGGATAAAGTTGTGTGTGAGTTAGATCAAGTTGCGTAGTAACGACATCATCAGTGGCGTAGTAACATTATCAGTGGCATAGTAACTACACTATCAGTGGTGTAGTAACGACATTGTCAGCTCAGGGGGAACGGCAATCAATCAGGTGGGGCCCCAATTTTCGATTTGTCTCGCACGATCTCACCTAGGCGATTCTAGATCGAAGCTCCACTTGCCTGATCGTATCATCGTCACGCTCACGGTCTCCAACATTTAACGCTGTAGGGGCGCTGCGTCTTCTCAAAACGCAGCCAACTACAGCTCTGCTTGTTCCAGCTGGTTACACTGTGATGAAGACAACAGCATCGACACAAACACGCGATGCGCAATTTGCGGAAGCCAAATGTTACCGCTCTAGTTAAATTAAAATAAAAACGTGGAAACGTTAATGAAAGCATTTTCACAGAAAAATTAATTCAAACCGCATTTTAAATGAGTGTTGTTGTTCTTTGACACTGTTGTTGGAAACAAATCCCATGGTGGTTGTGAAGGGGGCTTCAACTCGTAGCTTTGGCCACCAGGGGAGACGGGGGGCAAGGCACCCCCCGCCCCCACGCTCCTTACGCCACTGGTTAGATCGCGTAGATGTGTCATACACCCTTCTCCACCCGACACAGACAATTAGTACAGTGTGTCACGTGATCAGAACGTGCCAATTAGTGACTAGTTGAGCACCACCGGTTGTGTGTTAGAGAACAAAACTCGCAACATGTACAATTTGAGCGATGACAACAACCAGCATCATCAGGCAATCATCGCCAGGCAATTGCCCGATTGGCCTTGTCGGTTGCGGGTGGGCGTACGACACACTTACATTGACGCCATTACTAACCCACAACAACAGAAACGTTACAGTAAATAACGAGGCTGACGAAAGCCCACGTATTCAATTTGGGCCCACCATTATCACGCGATCATCTGCGAACAGGGTCGTATGACGTTTAAAAATGGTTGCCCACACGGGCCATCTGATTGGTCACAGAGCTGAACGATTGGACGTGTGAAGGGTGCCAGGCCATGACCGTAAGGTGAATCGGGCAGTGGGCGTATGGTCCACCCCAGCTTGATAACAAACAAAAAATACAAATATTTTTTTTTACCAGGTAGGGCCCACTATGCTCTAGTTATTTTTCAGAAGCAAACTGGCTATCACGAATGATAGCTCAACGAAGTGGCTTATCGCGTGGAAATTTGTTATCAGGCAACTACCCGAAGCGCACGTTGTTTATAAATGTGGAGGGAAAAACCGGAGGACCCGGAGAAAAATCTACGCGACCACGGGGAGAGAGAGACGCAAACTCCAAATATACAGCAGCAGGCGTCAGAGTCAGCAACAAACCCACGACCTCCTGTATACCAGGCGAGGTAGTTAACATCTTTCCACCGTGGCGCCTCTGCAGAAGGCCTCCAATGTTCTCAGACTCCCGTGTGGTCTGGAAATCTCCTACTGGGAGGAGAGCTTCTCCCACCTCACCAAACGAACGTTCACGATGTTCGTGACGTGCCCACGAATGTCTAAATTGCTCGCCCAATGTGAATGTGTGGATGTGCGTGCGTGGGGAGCGGCGGGTGCGGTGGCTAGCGCGCCGCGCTAAGGATTCCCGCTCGCGAGTCAACGGTGACGAATATCTGAACCGTCTCCTGGGCCTCCCCTAGATCGACTAAGCCTTAAATGAGTACCTGGTGCAGGTGTATAAACACCAGCATTGGGGAGACAACGGCGGCCGGGCGTGGTGGTAACTGCCCCAGCCCTGGTGTGCCATGTCAGCCTTAATAGGTGCTCGCTAACAGCCCCAATAGTCTGTTGAAGGCTATACGACGGTTGGGGGGGGTGGTCTATGTTGTGCGTGTCATATATATTACAGGTCTAAATAAAATTGTTATATAAACTGTACATCTAACGCATATACTATATATAGATTAAATATATGTGTCTATCACAATATCGCACTCCCGTGCGGGTTACTGCTACGAGTGTATTGACACTGATGGTGGCTCCAGTCGGTGCGGTTCCCCGGCACTCTAAACCCTCGCTGCACGAGGCTCGCCACGTCGATCCGGACCCAGGCAGCTCGCTCGGCACGCTTCACCATCACGAGTCCAAGTGCTCGCCTACGTATTCGGCACTTTCTTCTCTCAAGCTTTTTGCCACGTACTTCTCCGGGAATCTTCAGCTTTTTGCCACTCACGACTGCGGGCCTGTCTGACTAGTGCCAAGTCACCCTGTCGGTCCTCAGGACTATATCCTGGTCAGAGTGGCCGCCAAATCCCGCGCCTGGGCTACGCACGGCGTAATTGAGGCCCACTCTGCAGCGCGCACCGACAGCCTGCTGCCAGGCTTGCGGGCACGATGGGCCATCTGTCAGTCAGCCCGCCAGCCGGGTTAACAATGCACCGTCGGTATTCTCGCCGCCTGAGTTGCTCGGGTTGCAGACAGTTCTGCGCCGTTGAGCGTTCTCATGCGCTCGTGAAGCCGAACCTGGCGGGTTTCGGCTCGCGCGTGGCAGAATAAAACATTGAGCACGCATAACAGCGATGAAACGGAAAGGTCATCAAGTTATCTACCTAGGCAGGCAGGCCGCAGCCTCGTTGCACCATGTTTTAGCTACAAAATCGAGTGAAAAAATTACGGCAACACGATTTAGGATATTTTGCGCCTTCAGAAAAGCTCAGCCAGGAGTCCGGTTGCGTTAACAGTCATTACCCCAGGTCCCCCGCGCTCTCGGGCCTGTGGACCTGCGTGCGGCAACCCAGGTTTTAAAACCGAACGCGGGAAAGTTCTGCTTACGGGGTGGGGGGCAGGCAGGGCCTGAGCCGCAGGCCCTGAGCCGTCGTAATGCGACGAGAGGCAAAATAAAACGCACCAGGCCGACACTCGTACACGAACACTACAGCCGGCACACAAACACCACCCGGAGGTGCTGTTCATTTTCAAGCAAAGCAGTTCAGTTTGCGAGGCCTACAGCGCAGGCTTTGGCAGTTTTACGAGCGTAATAGCCAAGCGATACCTAAATACTGTTTGGGGGTTGTCCATCTTTTACCGAGCCTTCCCACCTTGCCTTTTGCCTGTAAGGCGAAGTTGCAATCTGTGAATGCAGCACACGAGGCCTGTAACTTTCCTAAATCTGCAGGAAAATCTCGGTGCTGTGTAGGTCCATTATGTGTATTCCTCGTTCTCCGCTGCAGGTCTTCCGAGCGTTCCGTTTTGTAGTCTCCCTCCGTGGGTTTGTGCCTCACCAAACTCTGCACTTCGTTCTTGGGCTCATGAAATCGTTGGCTTTGCACTGAAACGCCTCCGCAAATTCCTCGAAATTTTGCAGGACGCCGGTGACCCTGAATAAAACACACGCACGCATGCGCGCACACACACGCAGCGATATCGCCAGTGTTTGAATACCGCCTCATCATCATGATCCATGGGCAGATAGCCCCGTAGGTGTCCACTGCACATGTCGCCATTAGTTTCCACTCTCCTCTGTCTTGTAGTGACAATATGGCTCAAGTAGTTTCTACATCTTTCTAGCACCAACCTCTCACGTCGTCGTCAAGCCATTCTCTGTTAAGTCTTCTTCTCGTTTCAGTTCCGTCCATTTTTACGAACAACAACAACAACACACTTCAAATGTTCCTGTTGTTGTCCATCCTCCAGGCATGTCCAAGTAGTGCCAGTTTCCGTCTCACCACTGCCTGCATCATCAGGTTGTCTTCTTCTATGTGCGTAGCGATTCTAATTGATCAAGGCGCAGCCCGGCAATTGCCCGCTCGCACCAACTCTTCTACGATGGCCAGACATCTTCGAAGAGGTGGCAGTAGCCACACTCTACTCCACCACACCTGACCTGCCGACCGACTGACTTGCGGAGTACTCGTTTATACGGCTGGGTGGACAGAGGCGGCGGAATTCAGGATTCTTTGGCTAGGCTGCGTAATGGACGTGGCAAGATTATCCGTCGCTATCCCCTCTACAAACACCGACAATGCGTTTGGCTGTGCAGGATGGTGGAGGGCCTACCACGTAATACATTTGGCCAGATCGTAGCGTACCCTGACCAAACATCTCGATTACAATTTATGGAAATGAAACAAGCATTACAAAGTCTTATTTTTTCATACTTTGATATTGGGAAAAAAAGGTCCCGTGATATAGCTGCTCACCCGAGCTATACATGGTCTGATACATGCATTGTCTTTGTATTGTTCGCCTTTTGGCATGTTCTGGTCTGACACTGGCGAGACGAGGCCATGAAGAAGGCTGTCTCTGGTGGAGCCCAATCAGTTTCAAAGGCAACGTGTTTATAGTATTTATAGTATCAGAGCCACGTGTTTGTTTGCATGTTCACCACAAGTACGTGTGGTTAATGCAGACTTGATTCCTTGCAAAGGGTACCTATTTGGTGTTTGAACATCTTAACACCTGCCCACTGCAGAGATTACAAAGTGCGTGCCACCCCGTGCCCCATGCCCCCACTCCCCGATCACGGCCACCTACCCCACCATGTGCCCCACGCCCGCTTACGTGCCCCCTTCATCTGCCACCTGGGTGACGACGGGGAACGTCGTCGGCGGCGGCGGCGATGATGATGAGCGCGCTCGGCTATGTACGGTGCGAAAGAAGTTCGCAATACAGTACATGCGTAAAGTACGAACCTGAACTGGCCGGGGCTGTGGGAGTCGGCCTTGATGGAGATGCTGGCCGACTCTGGTCGGTACGTGCCACACCACACCTGAGGACATCGCCCAAGGCCGACAACGCCAAGCGGCCGGCAACAAACAGCACCGGCATCAATATTGCGGCAACGCATTGTTACTATAATCATCATTATATATCTTTAAAAACTTTTTTTCATGCAGTTGCTGAGCGCAGGCTCAAAGGCACAGAACAGCAAGCGGCGGGCGACAATCCACGCTGTTGTTAAAGTTGCTGAGAGACGGGTCCAGCCGAGGACGTTTCTTGAATCGTGCACGGCGATTCTCGTCAAGGTGGATGAGGCTACCTGGGCAAAGTTGAGGAAGAAGAGCTGCTTGTGGTTTAAGTTGAGGCCCGGGAGTGTGGGTTCCTCCTTCTCATCCGCCGCGATCTTCTTGAACGCCTGGAAATGAGAAGACCAATTACCCGGCGGTGGCGACGATGCAGCCGCGTCGTGACGGCGGCGCGCAACGAGCAAGATTGTGCGGCGTTTGTGTTTTTTTCACACATCCCATCAGATCGGTGCCTGGAGCCAGAAGGGGAACAGACCAGCGCTCCTCCTTCTCCTCCTCCTTGGAGGGAGGCCGCTGCTATGGCAGAGTGCGGTTACCGGGGGGGGGTCACTCGCCTGGTACGCCTGTCGGATGCCGCCGTTGTCGGCGATGTTCTCTCCCAGCGTGTTGACGCCGCTCAGCTGAGAGACGCAGGAGGAGGAGGGAGGACGACACAGCGACACAGCGGCGTCACACAAGGGGCTACGCTGCCCTGATCCTCCTCGCTCACACGCTCGTCGCTCATCGTCGCAGTGCAGCGAAAAACTTGCCACCGACTCGCTCACTCACCTGTTCAACCACCCACTCATCCACTCACTCACTCGACCACCCACTCACCCACCTACTCACTCAAACACCCACTCACTCACTCAACTACCCAGCCATCCACTCACTCACTCAACCACCCACTCACTCTCCCACCCACCTACTCCCTCACTCACTCAACCACCCACTCGCTCACTCACCTATTCAACCACCCACTCACTCACCCACTCACTCACTCACCCACTCAGCGCACTGGTTGAGAAGGGGGTGCAGTGCGGCGTCACAAGCCGACATTGTCGACATTGTCGTCATTATTATTTTATTTATTTGATGCTTGTCTTCGTAAATTCACCCGAGAGCCACTTACGTTCTGCCGCCCGGCTATGTCCCAGGTGAAGTTGCCGTACTGATGGACCATGCACCGGGAGAGATTCTTGAAGCTCACGGCCGACGAGTTGGACCACCAGTTGTTGAGGTTCCCGTCCTTGTCGTAATTGCGTCCTGCCAGAAACGAGACGGGCGTCACCATGTTCCGCGTAGCGCCCGTCGGCACGTGGCACGTGGCGCGTGGCACGTGGTGCAGGTGGACCTCGCACGTGGCCAGCGCCGCCCTCGTTCGTCGCGAGCCAAGCCACGAATGGACGCCGCCATTCTCTCGTTGTTTGGGAACTCGCGCGGACGTCGGGGAGAAGCCACCAATTGAACCCTGGCTCGCCAGGAGGAGCGGTACACGTGTGTCTGTGTGTGTACGTTGAACTTCTTTCGCACCGTACGTAGCCAACCACGCTAATCGGAGGTGCGGGGGGAAGGACAACAAACTATGGTCTTTGTGTGAGTCTATGGGTCTCTGTGTGATGAGTCTATGGGTCTCTGTGTGAGTCTATGGGTCTCTGTGTGAGTCTATGGGTCTCTGTGTGAGTCTATGGGTTTCTGTGTGAGTCTATGGGTCTCTGTGTGAGTCTATGGGTCTCTGTGTGATGAGTCTATGGGTCTCTGTGTGAGTCTATGGGTCTCTGTGTGAGTCCATGGGTTTCTGTGTGAGTCTATGGGTCTCTATGTGAGTCTATGGCTCTCTATGTGAGTCTATGGGTCTCTGTGTGAGTCTATGGGTCTCTGTGTGAGTCTATGGGTCTCTGTGTGAGTCTATGGGTCTCTGTGTGATGAGTCTATGGGTCTCTATGTGAGTCCATGGGTCTCTATGTGAGTCTATGGGTCTCTGTGTGAGTCTATGGGTCTCTGTGTGAGTCTATGGGTCTCTGCGTGAGTCTATGGGTCTCTGTGTGAGTCTATGGGTCTCTGTGTGAGTCTATGTATTATGCCGAACTTCTTTTGCACCGGACGTAGCCAACCGCGCTAATCGGAGGTGCAGGGGAAGGACAAACATACGGAACACGAAGAGCAGGCACGGCAAAGTGTTGACTAATAGATCAGCAGTCCCTTCTGTATGGGACAGAGCATTGCTCCCCCCTTACACGCTCCGGTTTCGCCGCTCGTATTTATGTAAACGCTCACTAATCGGCTGAAAACATTCACACGCAGAGGAACGCAGAGCTTGGCCAATTGTTGGCAGCGCCCGCTCGCCGTCCTGGCCGCCTTCCATCTCGCCCGAGCTCCCACGGCGATCGCGAGAGATGCACTTGTCGCGCGAACGCGATTGTAACGGAAAAGAGAAAAACGCAACGGCCGCCGTGGGCGTCGTCGCCGCACCGTTGTCGTCGAAGCCGTGCGTGATCTCGTGCCCGATCACCATGCCGATGCCGCCGTAGTTCAGCGACCGCGGCTGCCCCTTGGAAAAAAAGGGCGGCTGCAGAATTCCAGCCGGGAAAACTGTGGGTGGGAGGGGCGACGTGGAACGCGGTTAGAGTCCGTTTGCTGGCACGAGTCCAGGGCACGGCCACTCGGCGGGAGCCGGGAGAACTTCCTGCTCATGAAGAACGGTTACGAAACTGAACGTTCGCGATGCTCGACTTAAACTATACGACGACAATGTATTTCACAAGGTGTGATTCACTGGCTTATCACGTTGAAATGTATCGCAGCCAAATACTCTAAGCGCAAGTTGGTTCTAAATGTGGAGGGAGAAACCGGAGGACCCGGAGAAAAATCCACGTGACCACGGGAAGAGAGAGACACGCAAACTCCAAACAGCAGCAGGGTTGGGATGGAACCCACAAGCTCCTAACTTGATTTTAATCTTGATTTGAAGCTTTCGTGACTGCAGGAATCCATACTCTTTGGTTCTTTCGGTAAAGTCACGTAGGTAGAAAATTAATAGATCACGACGTTTCGATCGCAACACAAGCAACCGTCATCAGGTGAGACAAGCCCCTGTATACCAGGCGAGGTAGTTAACATTTCCTAGCCACCACGCAGCTACCCCAACGCGACACGCGCGTCCTGGAGGCAACCCACCGATTTTGTTGCGGCTCGGTGTGTAGAAGGCGTTGATCTCCGCAGCTCCCCCCACCCATCTGTCAAGAACATCTCAACGTTAAACGCACGCACGCGCCTACACGGACGCTCTCATACACAGCACACGCACCTACACGCACACACCTACACGCACGCACCTACACGCACGCACCTGCACGTGCGCTCTCGCTACGGTTGACAAACCCGGTTCAATGGCACGCGGCCTAGACCTGGATTCGAACCCAAAAGCTCAGCGGTGCCGGTTCAATAATAAATCACGGTTCAGTAAAGAATCACGGTTCAATAAAGAATCACGGTTCAATAAAGAATCACGGTTCAGTAAAGAATCACGGTTCAGTAATGGATCACGTGTGCGCTTTGGCCCTCGTGTTTGGTCATCGAATTGACACCGCACTTTCTATTCACGGTTTACGGTCACTGGGCATCGTCTGCGTGTTGTTTGACGTTCCCTTGGCGCTGTTTTGATGTTGTTTCTGCACGTCGCATAGAGATAGTCCTTGGTGTTAAACAAGATACACACACACACATACACTTCTACAAATTACTATTATTGTTGTGTTGTCATCGCTGTGCTCTTTCAACATCACCAACGTCAAAGACAAAGATCCCCCATGTAGCCTTAACAGACTTGGGGCAAGTGCTGTTGTCGAGCACCTATAAAAGGCGGCACGGCAAACGAGGGGGTGGGTGGCCAGCACCACGCCCGACCGCCTTTGTCTCCCCAGTGGCGATGTCTACACACCGCACCGGGTACTCATTTGAGACCGAGTCAACCTAGGGGAGGCCCACGACCGGTTCAGACAATCGTCACCGGTGGTGTTGGCCGTGAGCGGGAATCGAACTCGGGGCCGCCGGGTTCGCAGCGGCAGCGTGGCGCTCGTCGCTGCGCTCGCGCGGTCACTAGACCGCCCGTGCCCCGCTCTGGGGGGTGGCTCACGCATCCTTGTTGACCGGCTCGCGCAGCTTCTGCAGGCTCTTCTGCACGCCGTCGTGGATGTTCTCCAGCGTGTTCTCAAAGTACGACGCCTCGCCGAAGTTCAGCTGCGAAGGGGCGACAGAGACGCATCGCTCGAACGGCAAGCCACGGTGGCCTACGGCTCACGCCCCACGTGACCAAGTTGGCCCCAAACTGTTGCTCTTTCTCTCTCTGTCTCTCTCTCTGTCCCTGCTCTCTCATTGTCTCTCTCTAAAAGCCCTCTCTGTACCAGCGTGGACGGCACCCTCGTGTTCACCTTCTGAAGCGCTCGCTCGTCACCGTGGCGTGCGCGATGACCACCACAACCACCACGTGACTTTTCTTTCGTGTTGTGTGCGGTGCTTTTAGCGCCACGGCGCGTGGCTTTGTCGCGTTTATTTTCATATGTTTGCTGGTGACTTTGTGTATTTCATATCGAAATCGCCTCCAGTGCTTTTGCTGCTGGCGGCAATAAAAAGTTGTTTAAAAGTCAAAAAGTCTCTCTGTCCCTGCTCCCTTTCTCTCTCTATCTCTCTCTGTCCTTACTCTCTCTTTGTCGTGTGTATGTTGCACTTTTTTCGCGCCGTACATAGCCAACCATGCTAATTGGAGGGGGGGGGGGCATTGCAGCCGCCCCTCAGTAGAAACAAACGTACACGTCTCCGGTACCAAACGCTGCGTACCCAGTGAGGTTGGCACACTGCACGTTGCCATCGGCCGTGTGGCTCAGCCGAATCTCGCCAGGGGTAACAGACTTGTGCATTTCCTGCGGTGCCAGGGAGGATCTGCCCCACCAGTGCCTACGCTGCCAGCGGCTCAAACCAATGTTCCGCCTTTTGGGGGACATCTTCAGGAAACTGGGGGTGCCCTTCTACAACAGCAGCTTCGTATATGGGGTGGTGCCTTATCTGGCTAACAAGCGCCATGACCTCGCCAACTTCGCCTGTGCTCAGGCGAAGTTGGCGGTGTACAGAACGAGGAAAAAGATGCTGGAAGGTGACACTGACGGCTGCTCTGTGCTTCCAGTGTTCAGGGCAGGGACGTGCGGTCAGGGGAGGCAGGGGAGGCAGAGCCTCATCTGTCATACTCCAATGAAAATAGCTGTTACGAAAAAAAAATATTAAGCTTTTTCCACTGATCTGTGTTATAAATGTCATTTCTGTACGATTACAATCATTTTTATAGTCAAAATCGCCAAATTTGCGGAGCACCGCTGCAAATACAGAAAGAGACGAGAGGTGAGGCTGCGACGAGCTCAGCCTCCCCCCTGATTGCGCAACCCCTCAGTAACTGGATGGAGCGCGGGCAATCAGCGCGTGCCTGTTACTATCTCAGTATGTCACCAATGTAATGTTTGTAGACCCCTTCACTTCATGTCCTCGCCTTCCATACTCCAGGTAACTTATTTCACGTATGTGTATAAAGATATTTAGGCTCGCTGGTCTCGTCATGAAACTGCAGTGAAAAAGCACCAGGGGAGGCAGCTATCACATCTGCCTCACTTACGTTCTTGTACTCTTCGTCCAACTTGGGGTCGTCGTCATCCAGGATGTAATCCGGGTAGCCAATCATCTCCTTGATGCTTTCCGCCTGTAAATAAAATAAAAGAGTGACATTGCGAGAAGTATTACTTTTAAACTGTTTTTTTTATCAAAAGGACGCGTACACGTACAGACCTTTTTTTGTCAATCCACTGCTGGATGAGAGGCCGTGCCACGCCGTGGAGCGGTTTTTTGACCATACTTCACCATGCTGGTCAGTGCAGGCTGGTGAAGGGGGGGGGGGGGTAGGCGAAGGGGGAGTAGAAGTTCCCAGTTTCATTCTCTACAGAATCTTAATTTGGACTGGAGGAATCCGATGAGCTGTGAAGCTCTTAACCAGGTGAGAACACAACAAGTATGTTGTATGTACGTACTGTGAACTTATTTCGCACCGTACGTAGCCCACCGTGCTCACCGCAGGTGCTCGCTATCGCCCACCCTTCGCCGACGCTTGAGAGAACGTCTCTGGGGAGCACGTGCGTGCAACTGCCCCCCCCCTCCGCACCTGAAGATGCTGGCTCCAGCGAGCTCTAGAGGGGGGCTCCCTCTCCGGGGGGGGGGGCGGGGTATTTTGGTCGACTCTAGCCCACCAATGGGCAGTCGTCTCGGAAGAGGTCTCACACCTCTTGGTGGGAGTATCCCACATTTTACCCCGCCGCACGCGATGGACCTGCCGGTCCATCGACGAACTGCGGTTGAAACCCATTTATTTTATTCTGCTGGGTGGATATAGGAAGGAGGAGGAGGGTGAGGTGGAGGGGGGTTAAGAAATTGGCTCCATTGGCTCGTGCAAGAAGAATGAGGAGGAAGGAGGGAGGGAGGAGGAGGAGGAGCCGGGCTACCTTTTCCTGCGCCTTGACCTTGGTGGAGCCGTCCATCCACTCCATCTCGTCCAGCTTCTCGATGAACACCTGCCTTATCCTGCCGATGATCTCGTCCACCTGCGCGTGAAGACATGGGCCAATTCGATGTCACGAAACGTTTGGGCAATCGTGCCCTGCGCCCGCATGCGTGCGGCGTCACCACGACTGCCATCGGCCGTGATAAATCCACTGCTGGATGAAGGCCGCCCCCGATCCGTCGACCATTCCGCTGATGTGGCAGTGGCAGTCTCTCGGAGCGGTTTTGATTGGGCGGGGGCGGGGGAGGGGCGGGCGATTGGGGGGGGGGTCCCTTTAACTAACCAGGCGACTGCATGTGTAATGCGAGCGTAACATGCATCGTTTCAAAATTATCCAAAGACCGAGGAGGAGGCGGGGGGGAGTCTCTTAAAGCGCCATGGGCTTGCACGGTGGTAATGGTGCATGAATTTGCGAGCGGGAGTAAGTTGCATAACACAAGCTCATGCGAAAACAACCGTGGGCTTCCAATCTACGCCATCGCGAAGGTGAAGTCACTGCCAGAATTATTTTGTAGCTTTTAAGCAGCTGGCCAGAGGCGCGCATGCCACTCCTTCGCGGCCTGGTTTGTGGATTGACCAGGTAAGGCCTCCTGAGCTGCTACACAGCTGCTTTTCAGAAGTGATCTAGCCACAAATTATAGCTCAACGAATTGGCTCATCACCATGTGGACATTTACAGCAGCCAAATACTCTGAACGCGTGCTGATGTTGATTCTAAATGTGGAGGGAAAAACCGGAGGACCCGGAGAAAAATCCACGCGACCACGAGGAGAGAGACACGCAAACTCCACATATACAGCAGCAGGCGTCAGGGTCGGGATCGAACCCACGACCTCCTGCATACCAGGCGAGGCAGTTAACATCTCCTCGCCACCGCGGCGCCCCGATGTAATATACAAACCACCCACAAACTTTCCATTGGTGTCAACAAAGTTCTACAAAAGTGGTAACGCAAACACAAAAAAGCAAAGGTCCCCCACATATTCTTCGGGTCTTTCGGTAAAGTCACGTTAAAAAGTTAAAAGAAAATAACAAAATAACAAAAAAACTACGACGTTTCGATCGGGACACAAGCGGTCGCCCTTTTACTGATGACGACCGCTTGTGATGCGATCGAAACGTTGTAGTTTTTTGTTATTTTCTTTGAACCTATCTACGTGACTTTACCTAAAGACCCAAAGAATATGAATTCCTGCAGTCACGAAAGCTTTAAGTCAAAATCCCCCTTATAGCCTAACCAGACTGTTGGAGCAAGTGCTGGCTCACGACCGCGCTCACAGACAGAACGCGCTCTCTCTCTCTCCTCCCCCAGCCGCCCCTGCAAGTGACGCTTCATCTTCATGACGAACCAACGCACCAAGAAACTCGCGACACGCGCGCCCTTCGAAACGTCGGGACACCACCGAACAACGCGCGCTACGATCGGGGGAGGGCGGGTGGCGGGGTGTGTGTGTGGGGTGTGTGTGTGTGGGGTGTGTGTGGTGTGTGTGTGGGGTGTGTGTGTGTGGGGTGTGTGTGTGTGGGGTGTGTGTGTGTGGGGTGTGTGTGTGTGGGATGTGTGTGTGGGGTGTGTGTGGTTGGCACAGTAGGTGGCACAGGTGGTGCATCAGCCAGTCATCTCGGTCATCTCAGTCAGTCGACCCGTGGCACCTGCTGGGTCTGCCCCGTGACCTCCTGCCAGCGGGCGTTCGACACTTCACGTGGCCTCAAGGTGCACTTGGCCTGGCACAAGCGTCGTGGTGACGTCACCGCCACATAGTGGCGAATGGCGGTTGTTGTTGTTGTGTGTGAGGTGTGTGTGTGGGGTGTGTGTGGGGAGGGGTGTGTGTGGGGTGTGTGTGGTGTGTGTGTGGTGTGTGTGTGGGGTGTATGTGTGTGGGGTGTGTGTGTGGGGTGTATGTGTGGGGTGTGTGTGGTGTGTGTGTGTGGTGTATGTGGGGCGTGTGTGTAGTGTGTGTGTATGGGGTGTGTATGTGTGGGGTGTATGTGTGGGGTGTGTGTGTGGGGCGTGTGTGGTGTGTGTGTGGGGTGTGTGTATGGAGTGTGTGTGGGGTGTGTGTGGGGTGTGTGTGGGGGGTGTGTGGGGGGTGTGTGGGGGGTGTGTGTGTGGTGTGTGTGTGGGGTGTGTGTGGGGGGTGTGTGGGGGGTGTGTGTGTGGTGTGTGTGTGGGTAGTGTTTGGTGTGTGTGTGTGGTGTGTGTGTGGGGTGTGTGTGTGGGGTGTGTGTTTGTTACCCCCCCACCCCTGCTCACCATCTGCTTGCTCTCGCCGGCGAACACCTGGCGCACGTAGAGCGACCCCACGGCGTTCTCCATGTTCGAGTTGACGCCTCCCACGCACTCGCGCCACCGCGCGTCCTCCGACGTGGTGCCGAGCAGCGCCTGCAACGCCACGAGCCACGGACTCTCGGCTTAAGGGGAGGGGCTGCTGGTGGGGGTTGTTTTGTTTTTCCACCGCGCGAACCGAGCCGTGCCGGGGCCACGCCTGGGCCCACGGCGGCCATTGGGAAGTGGAATTCTCAACCACTGGGCCTCAGGGCTGTCATCAGAAGCAGATTCTTTAATTATACTGGAGCAGGAGGAAATCCGATGAGCTATGAAGCTCTTTTTGAGTCACAGATGTCCAGTAGGGGCGGGTCAGCAAGTTACAACAACCAACGATACAACAACAACAAAAACATCTACGAGAGTGCAAAGTAGTGAAAAGGTAAACAAGTCACTAAACAGAAATAAATACAAATACATTACATAACTAATCAGAAGATGAGCACCAATGCCCCAGTGCTCGTTGGGAGCAGGAAATGATCGCCGTTGATCAATAACACTCATCAACATCATCATAAGCATCATCATCAGCATCATCATCAGCATCATCATTATCATCATCATTATTATCATCATCATCAGCATCATCATCAACATCATCATCATCAGCATCATCAGCATCATCATCATCAGCATCGCCGCCGCCACGATCCATGGGCAGATAGCCCCGAGGCGTTGACTGCCCTGTCCGTCTTTTGTTTCCACGATCGTCTCTGCCTCGTGCCAGGACGCCCGAGTCAGTGGCGCGTCTCCCTGGCCGCCGATCTCATGCGAGCCGTCCATAAATGACGTCACGCGATTTTGGACAATTTTTGACCCCCCCCCCCCCTTCGTCACACGACGTCACAAAAAGTCAGACCCCCCCCTCAAATATGACGTCACAAAGCTCTGCCCCCCCCCCCCCAAATATAAAACATGCTTCAAATCGCTTTAAACTATTGTCATTGTAGTGCGTATTTAATGTGGCGCTGCACTCTGATGTTGTAGGATATTTTTTTTGTCTAATTAATTCAGTAGAACGTGTCGTCACACATCGTCACAAATGTCTGACCCCGCCTCCCCCTTAGGTGCGTGACGTCATTTATGGACTGCCCCTTATTTACCACCCCCACGAAGAGGCAATGCCGGGAGGAGGAGTGTGGCACGCTGCCGCTACCTTCTTGAAGCTGGAGTGAACCTCCTTGTACCGTTGGCTCAGCGTGAACACGATCTCCTTCACCAGCCTCCACGCAATGTAGTTCTGGAGGACTCTGCACGCGAGGATAAAGACAAAGGTCCCCCGTGTAGCTGCACGGATGCACCGATGCAGGCTGGCTTGGAGCGCGGTTTCCACCTGTCCCGGTTTTTTCAGGACCGTCCTCGTGTAGAGGAGGCAGCTGCTATCCTAGGACATCTCTAGGACCTGTAGTACAGGGTGACAGGAGCTGTGGTTCAGGGTGACAGGAGCTGTGGTGCAGGGTGACAGGGGCTGTGGTACAGGGTGACAGGAGCTGTGGTGCAGGGTGACAGGAGCTGTGGTGCAGGGTGACAGGGGCTGTGGTGTAGGATGACAGGAGCACCACCAGCACCACCAGCAACACCAGCACCAGCAGCACCACCACCAGCACCACCACCTCCAGCAGCAGTAGCAGCAGCACCACCACCACCAGCACCACCACCACCAGCACCACCACCAGCACCAGCACCACCACCAGCACCACCACCGACTGCCACGTACCTCGCTGGGTACTTGCCGAGGACGGCGGGCAGCTTGGCGAGGTATTCGGGCGCGTAGACCACGACGCTCTCCTCGCTCGGCACCGTCACGTTCACGCTCGCCAGCACGGAGCGCACGAACCGCGTCCACTCGAAGCCCTGGTGGCGAGCGGGTGGGCGGGTGGGTGGGTGGCATCGCACCGGCGTTACTGTCATACCACCGTAGCCGTACGCTCGCCACCACCACCACCACCGCCAACAACACCATTGTGACAATCATAGCACGGGCTTCAATAGCGACACCACCGCCATCACCGAATCGCCATAGCAATCCTACTACCAGCATCAACACCATCACCTCCACCACTACCAACACCACACAAATAATCCTACCAACATCATCACCTCCACCACTGCCATCGCCTTATCACTGTAAACAATAATATAATGACAGGGCCAAAACATGAGCAATGGATCAAAACGTGAAGAGACCAGAAACGAACAGCACTGTCAAAGTTGTAACACGTGACAGTGTGTGACACGTCACAGTGTGTAACACGTGACAGTGTGTAACACGTGTCAGTGTGTAACACGTCACAGTGTGTAACACGTCACAGCGTGTAACACGTCACAGTGTGTAACACGTTTGTTGATTTGCTCAAGCTTATTAGGGAATTCCAAAGTGGAGCACAGAAGAGTTGTGACCTGCAGTGTGGTGAGCGGCTGAGTGCGTTGTTGTGACCTGCAGCGTGGTGGTGGTGGTGGTTGAACACACAGAGTATGGGATGTCTGGCTGACCGAGTTACTCAACGTTGGTGGATGAATCAACGAGTGAAGTCCACGGGAACAGTGACCATGGTGTTAGCGACAGAAGATTGACAAGGGGGCGACTGAGAGGGGTTGTACCCAGCTGCTGAGCGCGGTTGCGGCCCTGGTGGAAGGCGTGGAAATGGAGGCCTCCCCTCTACAATTTCCCCCCTCTTTGTGGGGAGTTCTGATGGGTGGGACACGTGGTGTGCAGGGTCGAGGAGGAGGTAGTGATGGGTGGGACACATGGTGTGGAAGGTGGAGGAGGAGGTAGTGATGGGTGGGACACATGGTGTGGAAGGTGGAGGAGGAGGTAGTGATGGGTGGGACACGTGGTGTGCAGGGTGGAGGAGGAGGTAGTGATGGGTGGGACACGTGGTGTGCAGGGTGGAGGAGGAGGTAGTGATGGGTGGGACACGTGGTGTGCAGGGTCGAGGAGGAGGTAGTGATGGGTGGGACACATGGTGTGGAAGGTGGAGGAGGAGGTAGTGATGGGTGGGACACGTGGTTTGCATTGTGGAGGAGGAGGTAGTGATGGGTGGGACACGTGGTGTGCAGGGTGGAGGAGGAGGTAGTGATGGGTGGGACACGTGGTTTGCATTGTGGAGGAGGAGGTAGTGATGGGTGGGACACGTGGTGTGCAGGGTGGAGGAGGTAGTGATGGGTGGGACACGTGGTGTGCAGGGTGGTGGAGGAGGTAGTGATGGGTGGGACACGTGGTGTGCAGGGTGGTGGAGGAGGTGGTGATGGGTGTGACACGTGGTGTGCAGGGTGGAGGAGGAGGTAGTGATGGGTGTGACACGTGGTGTGCAGGGTGGAGGAGGAGGTAGCGATGGGTGGGACACGTGGTGTGCAGGGTGGAGGAGGAGGTAGTGATGGGTGTGACACGTGGTGTGCAGGGTGGAGGAGGAGGTAGCGATGGGTGGGACACGTGGTGTGCAGGGTGGAGGAGGAGGTAGTGATGGGTGTGACACGTGGTGTGCAGGGTGGAGGAGGAGGTAGTGATGGGTGTGACACGTGATGTGCAGGGTGGAGGAGGTAGTGATGGGTGGGACACGTGGTTTGCATTGTGGAGGAGGAGGTAGTGATGGGTGGGACGCGTGGTGTGTAGGATGGAGGAGGTAGTGATGGGTGGGACGCGTGGTGTGTAGGATGGAGGAGGTAGTGATGGGTGGGACACGTGGTGTGGAAGGTGGAGGAGGAGGTAGTGATGGGTGGGACACGTGATGCGCAAGGTGACGGGAGGAGGGCATGTCACCGCAACAGTATTGGAGTGGCGCCCAGACGTCAGCGGCCAAGGGGAAGAGAAGACCTAAAGCCACGTGGTGGTGGTGGCGGTGGCGATGAGACTGTGAGAGTGGGACAACCTCAGGAGGTCGGGTGTCAACTCTACAACAACCACGGGATCTTTGAGGAAGGGAGGAAGGAAGCGACGGCGAGGCGTGGCGGCACCGACGGTATCTCGATGACCTCTTGTCACGCCTCCCGAACTCGGCCGCGCGCGGTGTGACCCCATTGTGCGTCACTTTGCGAGTCGTGAGAACACCCAGGGTGGGGTGGGGTGGACGGGCTTCTTTTTTGTTCTTCTGTTGATTTACTTTTCCACTTCTTGTCCAAACGGGAGAACGTCTCTTGCTCTCCTTTTGTTTGAACAAAAAAATGTGGGGGCGGGGCGGGGGGGGTGATAAACATTTCTCAATCTGCACGTTTCCGAGCCTTTGTCGCCCACGTTGCAGTGAGGGGGGCACGGGGGGCGGTGGCCGTGCCGATCGAGGCCACGCGAGGTGGGACCCGCACTGCGCCCGCGGGAGGAGGGGGGGGGGCGAGCCGCTGAATGTCGTTCATCACGCGGCATCGCCCCGTGCGAACGGCAGCGTGGAGGTGTTTTTTGCGTTGTTTGTTTAATTTCACGTCAATCGAACTGGGGACAAATTGTTTTAACGACCGACCCTGTCCCGGGAAGTCTCCGCCGCGCGTTGTTTTGTGTTTGCTTTCTGCCGTTCTCGAAAATCTCTCGCCTCCTTCTTGTTGTTCGGTCAAAGACAAAGATCGCCCGTGTAGCCCTAACAGCCTGTTGGGGCAAGTGCTGTTTGCGAATAGTTGCATCTTTATGGAGGCCGGCACACGACGGGGGGAGGGGGGTAGTGTAGCTAGCACCACTCCCGGCCACCTTTGTCTCCCCAAGTGGCGATGCTCACTGCATCGTACTCATTCGAGGCCGAATCAACGTAGGGGGAGGCCTGGGACCGGTTCAGATAATGGTCACCGCTGCACCGCCCAATACGCGTGGGTCAGGCCCGCGTTCACCGCACCGTTCACCACACGTTCACCACACGTTCATCACACGTTCACCGCACGTTCATCACACGTTCACCACACGTTCACCGCATGTTCACCACACGATCACCGCGATGTTCACCACACGTTCACCACACGTTCACCACACGATCACCGCACGCGGTGCCCCCGCCCCTAGCCGGCCACAGCTATAGGGCCGCGAGGGAGTGCGGCGGCGGTGGTTGGCGTGGCGTCTCACGGGGAGCTTGAACTTGTCCTCGAGCTCGCTCAGGGCCATCTTGTTGTACATCTTGGTGATGTCCTGCCGCTCCTCGGTGGGCGTCGTGATCTGGGGCCGGGGGGGGGGAGAGTTGTCGAGTGGCATTTGTAAAACTCTAATCAACATTATGGGGACCTCATTTGCCAGTAAAAAATATGATAATTGGTTCTTTACCCTGATAGAAGGGTAAAGAACCAATTATCTAATCAACATTTGAACACGCACTCGACACAGTCGTCAACAACACCGCGGCCTTGCGAGACAAATGTTTGACCGGTGACGTTTAGGGCGATGGACCTTCTTCATGGCACATCGAAATGTTTCGCAAGGAAACGGCTTGCAAATGACGCGACGCTTCGTTGGCCCATCGAGTCGCATCGACCGCCGTGACTCTCGGGGGTTCAGCTCCCCACGAGCTTCTCTCCTCTCGGCCGCATTCATCAGTCGCCGTTCGCCAGCACGGCGTTTGTGCCAGGCTAGGTGCACTCCGAAGCCACGTGAAGTGTCAGGCAGGAGGTCACGGACACACCCAGGTGCCATGGGTTGATCGAGATGACTGGCAGGGGCATGACTTGTGCTCCCCACTGTGCCAACTCGATGCATTGTATCCGCCCGGCGCTGCACTCGTTGTTGTGAGCGTCGTCCCTCTACTCTCCGCTGTTGTTGAAGGGCGACTGCCTCCAACTGCACGAGGAGAGCGTCCTTCACGAGCTTTGTAAACCCACCAAGGGTAATGAACGCGTTCATCAGCGAAACGTCGTACTCGAATTGTAAATGTGTGTGGGTGTACTCTCCAACATACGGAACTCGTAACTAAATGGCACGGTTTGTTTACGTGACAACCCTTACACCATTGGCTGTGTCGGGTGGTGGCGGGTTTAACGACACATTTATATTTACGCGATCTCACCCAACAAAGTGGACTGGTTGCCCCACACGTGCTGGAGGAAGCTGCAAAGTGGCTCTGTGGCTGTGTGGGCTGACATTTATTTATCATGAAATAGTTAGTAAATGTCGATGGTGTTTTGACTGTGGGAAGTCGCATGCAGTAGCATTTGAGCATTCGCTAAAAAAAACTCCCAAAAGCTTTCATGATATAAAACACTATATTTTATTTTACCAGCCAGGGCCCACTGAGCTACATCGCTCTATTTCAGAAGCCACCCAGCTATCACAACAGAGAGCTCAACGAAGTGGCTTATCGCCACGTGGACATTTATAGCAGCCAAATACTCCACGGATATCGTTCGTGAAAGCCTACGTGTTAAACTGATTTGAAATGTATATAAAAAAAATTAAAACGATAATAATAATGTAAAAACGAGATAAAGGCGCAGCCCTGAAACTGCCGGCCTTGGGTGGTGCTTACGTTGGCGAGCGCCACCTCCAGCTCCAGGACCGTGGCCATCTCCTCGCGGACGGCCTCCTCGCTCCTGGGCCGCTTGCGGTCGCTCCTCAGCATCGTGGCCATGGAGACCATGAACTGCAGGTAGGCCTCGCGAGCCTAGCAAGAGGTGAGCGGTCAGTCGGCAGTGCGCCTCCAACTTCTCCTCGCCTCGACATCCTCAGAACCCCCCCCCCCCCATCGAAGACACGTTCGTGTGAGAAACATCGACCACATCGGAACAACATCAACAGAATGGGAATATGAATGTATACTGCAGGAGGAATCCGATCATCTATAGAGCTCTTTTTTGCAGATGTCAAGTAGGCGCATGGTGTCAGAACGTCACAACAAACAATGCAAAAACACGATCAGAGTGCAAAGTCTAGGAAAAGTAATCAAATCACTTTACACAACGTAACTATTCTTTTTTATCTTACCAATTAAAGCCCACCGGGGTATTAACTTATTTTTCAAAGGCGACCAGGCCACAAGTGATAGCTCAACAAACTTGATGATTACGATTGGACAATTAAAGACACAAGGCCACAGGAGTGCGACTGTGGCCATGCAACCCAAGTTGTGCACCGCATAGTACATCCAGAGACACGCAGAGATGCATGGAGACCCATAGGGACTCATCGAGATACATGGAGACGCATAGAGACACATAGAGATACATGGAGACCCATAGAGACACATAGAGATGCATGGAGACCCATAGTGACACGCAGAGATGCATGGAGACCCATAGGGACTCATCGAGATACATGGAGACGCATAGAGACACATAGAGATACATGGAGACCCATAGAGACACATAGAGATGCATGGAGACCCATAGTGACACATAGAGATGCATGGAGACCCATAGGGACACAGAGAGATGCGTGGAGACCCATAGGGACACATAGAGATACATGGAGACCAGTAGGGACACATTAAAGACACGCCACGGAAGTGTGGTTGTAGCCATGCAACTCAAACTATGGATCACGCAGTGACCCCACTGTGGCAGTCTGCGCTCCTTTAACGGAGGAGGAGGAACAGCGACACGACACGAACTCGCTCTCTAAAAGCCACACTTGCTTAGCAATCCACTCACGACTGCTTATTCAAGAGATACGGTACTCTGCTGTCCTCATCTCCAGGATTAAGTTGCAGTGCTGTTTTTTGTTTACCTGCCATGACATGGACCAGAAAACATGGGCCGCTGGCAAAAAGAAAACGAAAAAAGCAAATATCTGGGAGCGATCCACCCGTGGAGTTGACCCCGCGATGCAGAAAGAGGAACACGCGGACTCGAGAACACACGCGGTATTCATGACATCGTTCCCAAACTAAACTATTATTTTTATCTTAGCAGGTAAGGCCCACTGAGCTACGTAGCTCTTTTACAGAAGCCACCTGGCCATCACAGATGATAGCTAAACGAAGTGGCTCGTCATCATCATCATCACGTGGAAATGTATCGCAGCTAAATACTGGAAACGCGTGATGTTGATTCTAAATGTGGAGGGAAAAACCGGAGGACCCGGAAAAAAAATCAACGCGACCATGGGGAGAGAGACACACAGACTCTAAATACAGCAGGCGTCGGGGGCCGGGATAGAACCCACGACCTCCTGTATACTAGGCGAGATATACGTGACTTTACCGAAAAAACCTAAGAATATGAATCCTTGCAGTCACGAAAGCTTCAAATCTAGAATAAAAGTATAATAATAGATGTACCCTTGCTGGCAAAAAACAGTTGTGTTAAGATGCTAAAACACCAAACTGAATCCTTTTCCAATGAACCATGTCTGCATTAACCACAATACTTGTGGTGAACATGCACACACAAAGCATGCTCTGGTGGTATATGATGATGCATCTGAAGCTGAATAGTCCACACCACAGGCAGCGAGTCTGTGTGGTTCGTGCAGTGGATACACCACGGCTCGTCGCCCGTTATAGATTTTCTTTTTTTCTTTTAAGGCAGTTTTGTTGACGAGTGTTGATTTTTCTTCTTGTTGAAACTTCATAGCAGTGAGGATGGCAGATTTGGGGAGGGAAGGAGGAGGGGGGGGCGCATATGTCACCGACATTTCTAACTGTTGCTCGCCAGGGTCACATCTGCTTGCAGTTTGTGAGAGTTCAGCATCGAGCGCTTCATTCTATTTATGCTCTTCGCTCCCTCGTCTCGGCCATCGCACACAGACACACACAACAACAACAACCGCCATTCGCCACTAAGTGGCGTTGACGTCACCACGACGCTTGTGCCAGGCCAAGTGCACCTTGAGGCCACGTGAAGTGTCGAACGCCCGCTGGCAGGAGGTCACGGGGCAGACCCAGCAGGTGCCACGGGTCGACTGACCGAGATGACCGAGATGACTGGCTGATGCACCACCTTTGCCCCCTACTGTACCAACTTGCTGTGCTTTAGCCACCCGACGCTCCGCTCGTTGTTGTGAGCGTCGCTCCTCCCCCCTCCGTTGTTGGAGGGCGACTGCCCCCAACTGCCCAGTATGGTCCTTCACGAGCCTCCTTCACAGAGGCCGGTCTTGACACCGCTAGTACCAGTCATCGGCAAGTCCACTCAGCTCCACATCATCCTGTACTAAATCACTCCATCTTTTCTCTAGCCCGTGCCGCGTCCGTTTAGCCCCCTCGATCCGGCCGAACAAAAGCTGTTTATTCTAGATTTGAAAAGTTGTTTAGGCATGCGGTGGCTGGGCATGCAGGCTCCATGACCCAGCCAATGCAGCCTTGCCTGCCGGAGGAGCTCACCGATGGGACTTTGTCCAGATCTTTCAATGATATGTGAGCTCCTCACACAATCCAGCCTGGTTAAACCCAGGATGGATCATAGGCAGGCCAGCCTAAATGTTTCTAATCGGCGAAGATGTTCAATTAGGGGGGTCCACGTTTCGCACGCATAGAAAAGGGAGGGAAAACCCGTGGCCGAGAAGACATGACGCTTCGTGTGGAGCGACAGACCAGGTAGCTTCCACACAGCGTTACGCAACCGATTATAATATAATGCCGCTCGACTGATTCGGAATGAGACCTCTGCTGTCAAACCAGAGCCGGTTATGAGCACACTGCCCAGGTATGGGAAACGCTCCGCTCTCTCCACAACTGCCCTATCACCAATTGGGAGTTGTGGGGTGGAGTGTCCAATGGTACAAAACACCCAGGCAGGTGCTTAGTTTTGGTGGGGCTGATGGTAAGTCCCCACCTCTTAGTGGCAAGCTCCCAGGTTCAGCAGCAGCACCTCCAACTCCTCCTCTGAGTGAAGCAGCAATTACCAGATCATCGGCATACATAACATGGTTGAGCAATAGGGAGCCATTTCTTGACCACACCCGGGCATTGATCAGCCTCCCATTGTATCTGTACCAGATGGAAAATCCTCCGGTACAGCTATTGAAGGATTCACGAACTACGTGGTCGAAAAAGATGTTAAATAATGTCGTAGCCAGAGGACATCCCTGTCGCACCCCAAAGTGAACAGGGAATGGCTCTGACTCCCGGCCACATAGTTTTACCCGGGCCCGCTCACCATCATGAAAGTCCTTAATGATCGTGAGCAGCGGGTCAGGGACTCCGAAAGCACGAAAAACAACTCATAGCCCAGGCCTACTGATGGTATCATAGGCCTTGATCAGGTCAATAAAGCAGAGATATAGGTCTTGGTGGAATTCCCTACACCTCTGCTGTAGCAGATGAACAGAAATATGTCATCTGTGCAGGACCACCCTTTCCTGAAACCACATTGAGGCTCCGCAAGCCTCTCCTCAGCGTGCCTGGCAAGGCGATGTTGAATCATCCTTGCCATGACCTTTCCCAGCGCACTGAGGAGTGAGATGCCCCTGTAGTTGTTACAGTCTGTGCGGTCCCCCTTCTTAAAGAGGGGAACCACCAGGGCATGCCTACAATCCTGCAGAACCCGTCCAGCGGTCCAGACTGTAGTTATGATGTCATGTAGGGCAGTCTGTGCACAAACGCCACCCTCCCTCAGCATTTCGCTTGAGGGATCATCTCTGCCCGGTGCCTTTACTGGTCTCAGACTCTGGATCGCCTTCAGTACTACCTCAACAGATGGCACCTCAGTCAGCCACTCACAGGGGGTGACTTCTTCCAATATTTGAAGCACCGCAGCCTCAACAGTGTCATCCCCACTTTGTCCCACGATGGTTTCCAGGTTGAGGAATTTCCCCTCCCCCAGGACCTCACATAAATTCTGAGATGCACACACAAGCAGAGATGCACACACACGCACACACGGATAGACACACACACGGAGAGACACATACACATAGCCACACACACACGGATAAACACACACGGATAGCCACACACACACACGGATAGACACAAACACACCGATAGACACAAACACACGGATAGATACACACAGGATAAACACACACACGGATAGCCACACACACGGACAGACACACACACACGGGGGATGAGATGCAAGCTCCCCCCCTCCCTCCCTGCCGTCAAGAGGCGACGCCAACGCGTTTGAAGTCGGTATAAAAATAACGCGGAGCCATCGCTCTGCTGCTCGTCCTGCTTGAGGCTCAAACGAGCACCGCCCGCTGGGACGCGCCGCTCGGAGGCGGATCTGGAAACTTCCCTGGACACGGGGAGGGGGGGGATAGTGGTTCTGAAATTTCAGGGGTATATTTTGTAGTTGTTAATATGGCCCCATATTGTGCTTATACTGCTCTAAAATTTGTTTTTAAAAAATACTTCTTAGTTCAATGGGATTTACTCGGGGAATAAACTTCTCATAAACTTCCGATGCATTTTGTTTAAAGTTTTGCTGGCTGGCTGCCTGGCTGACGCGCGGCGGTGATGTCGCGCGCACGCCTGCGAGATGACGTCATCCGCGACTCACAGCGTCGAGCCGGCTGCGTGCAGCGTGACGTCACGCCCCCCCACCCCCCACCCGGCCGTGTATGCCGAGCAAACGCGCGGGCAGTGCTCATTAAAGTAACAAAGTCAACGATGCCCCGTGTAGCCTTAGCGGACCGTTGGGGCAAGTGCTGTTAGCGAGTAGCACCCTATGAAGGCCGGCACGACACACGAGGGGGTGGGTGGTCAGTACTCGACCCGGCCACCTTTTATCAACCCCGGTGGCGATGCTTTCACACACCGCACCAGCTACTCATTTGAGGCTGAGTCGACCTAGGGGAGGCCCAGGACCAGCTCAGATAACCGTGACTGGTGTTGGCCGTGAGCGGGAATCGAACTCGGGTGGCCAGGTTCGCGCTAACGGCTACACTACAGCCCCCCACATTAAAGGTCACCCCCCCCACACACATGAATTGCCTCGCTTGCTCTGCTCAATGTCGATACCAGGGCGAGGCTCGGGGTGTCATCGCCACCCTCGACAACCGTGGCGCCTGCGCCAGGGAGCAGCGCGCGGCGAGGTGGCGACGGAGTTGGGATTCGTCGTCTCGTCAGTGACCGCGGGTTGCTGAGCGCAAGGGCGCTCGGAGACGCTCACGACGTCCGCTTGGATCGTAGCGACGGTGTCGGTCGTCGTGTTGAAGGTAGGACGCGTAAACACGTGGCAAGCGGTGGGGGGTGGGGGGGGGGGCCTTGACGTCTCCCACTCAAATCGGCCGCTTCGTCGGAGAAACATCGACCGGGCGACGCAGCACCGCGCCTCCGTCACGAGTGGGGAGCGCAGGGGGGCATCGCAGACGCGAGCCGCAGGCGCGTGAGTGCGTGGCCACGCAAGCCAAACGCCGGAGCAGATGTTCAGACAAAACACACGGAGGCGCAGAGAGATACCGTAGAGACCCACACAGGTGCAGAGAGACACACACAGATACATTGAGACACACACAGATACTTTGAGACCCACACAGATACACTGAGACCCACTTCGAAACATTGAGACACACTTAGAAATATTGAGACACACTTAGATACATAGAGACCCACGTAGCTACATAGAGACATACTTAGATACATTCAGACACACACAGATACATTGAGACCCACACAGATACACTAAGACCCACTTTGAAACATTGAGACACACTTAGAAACATTGAGACACACTTTGATACATTGAAATACAAAGGGACTCATTGAAACGTTTTAAAAACGAGCCAAGAGTAGTAGCCAGGCAACCCACACTACGGACCGCGCAGTGAATCCGCTGTGGTCTACGGCTCCTTCAACGCAGGAGGAGGAAGAGCGACACGACACCAACTCTCTCTCTCTGTCTCTCTGTGCTGAAGCCCTCTCGTCGTGGCAGCAGCAGCAGCAGACATTAGCTTCAACATCACTGCTGCTGCTGCTGCTGCTACCATCACGCGCGAGAGTCGAAGATCACAGCGCAAGCCCAACAGCCCGACACTCCAAGCGGCCAGCGGCTGTCAGCGCGATTGGATTTAGACTCGGGGTGTCTGTTCACAGCCTTGAGTGAAGAGTCGAATTCTAAATCCACCCGGGTGTGGATGACTGTCACAGGCTGCAACTGAAGTCACCCCTCCTCCCTTCGCCCCAAGCCGCCGTGTCGATCACAGAGGCAAGGAGCGATTGTGTCAGGTCGCGGTGAGCGGTGCACAAGTCACCGCTCACCAATAGCCACTCGCCCAACCGCTTATCGGCAATCCGTGAGTCGTAGTTGGGGATGGGGGCGGCTTGACGTGGCCTTCATCCAGCAGTGGATTGACCACGGCTGATGATGATGACGATGGTGACGAACTATATAGATTTTAAATACTTCTTAATTGTTTTTTTTTACCAACGACTAATTCCTGCTGTTGCAGGACCCTCGTGAGAAAGAGCCCAAAGACTCAGTGAAACATTTCTGTATCAATGCAAACACAACTATTATAATATTATTACCATCAAAGTAATGTAATCATGAAACGTGTGTGTGCGTGTTCTCTCCCATCACTGAGTCACATCCACAACACGAGCCGTATTTGCCACGAGCAGTCGCGTAACGAGCATAGTGGGGGGCAGGGGGGGGAAGGCGGTGGGGGGGGGGGGGTGCCCCCCCCCCCACCGTCTCCCCTGGTGGCCAAAGCTACGAGTTGGGACCCCTTCACAACCACCATGGGATTTGTTTCCAGCAACAGGGTCAAAGAGCAACAACACTCATTAAACACGCCGTTTGAATTAATGTTTGCCTGGAAATGCTTTAATTTACGTTTCCACGTTTTTATTTTAATTTAACTAGAGCGGTAACGTTTGGCTTCCGCAAATTGCGCATCGCGTGTTTGTGTCGATGCTGTTGTCTTCATCACAGTGTGACCAGCTGGAACAAGCAGAGCTGTGGTTGGCTACGTTTTGAGAAGACGCAGCGCCCCTACAGCGTTAAATGTTGGAGACCGTGAGCGTGACGATGATGCGATCAGGCAAGAGGAGCCTCGATGTAGAATCGCCTGGGTGAGACCGTGCGAGACAAATCGACTATTGGGGCCCCGCCTGATCGATTGCCGTACCCCCTGAGCTGATGATGTCGTGACTACATCACTGATAATGTAGTTACTACGTCACTGATAATGTAGTTGCTACGCCACTGATAATGTAGTTACTACGCCACTGATAATGTAGTTACTACACCACTGATAATGTAGTTACTACGCCACTGATAATGTAGTTACTACGCCACTGATAATGTAGTTATTACGGCACTGATAATGTAGTTACTACGCCACTGATAATGTAGTTACTACGCCACTGATATTGTAGTTACTACACCACTGATAATGTAGTTACTACGCCACTGATAATGTAGTTACTACGCCACTGATAATGTAGTTACTATACCGCTGATAATGTAGTTACTACGCCACTGATAATGTAGTCACTACGCCACTGATAATATAGTCACTACACCACTGGTAATGTAGTTACTACGCCACTGATAATGTAGTTACTACGCCACTGATAATGTAGTCACTACACCACTGATAATGTAGTTACTACACCACTGATAATGTAGTTACTACGCCACTGATAATGTAGTCACTATACCGCTGATAATGTATTCACTACACCACTGATAATGTATTCACTACGCCACTGATAATGTATTCACTACACCACTGATAATGTATTTACTACACCACTGATAATGTATTCACTACGCCACTGATAATGTAGTCACTACACCACTGATAATGTATTCACTACACCACTGATAATGTATTCACTACACCACTGAAAATGTAGTCACTACGCCACTGATAATGTAGTTACTACGCCACTGTTAATGTAGTTACTATACCACTGATAATATAGTTACTACGCCACTGATAATATAGTTACTACGCCACTGATAATGTAGTTACTACGTCACTGGCCATGAATCGTAAGTGCATTCTGTCCATTCGCCTCACCGTTCTGTAATTGCCGTCACCGTAGTAATAATCCTTGGAGGGGAGGCCAAGCATTGGCTGATCAACCTGGGCAGAGGAACACAGGTGGACGATAAGCCACACACACAACGTGGATTCGTGCAGTCGGAGATATCAGTCGGAGGGACCCGAGTGGACGAGTGTGCGCACCAAGGGCGGTGTCTGCTCGACACGCACAACCACCACAACAAATGCAAAGATCCCCCGTGTAGCCTTAACAAACTGTTGGGGCAAGTGCTGTTAGCGAGTTGCACCCATGAAGGCCGGAACGGCACACGAGGAGGTGGGTGGCCAGCACCACGCTCGGCCGCCTTTGTCTCCCCAGTCGCGATGTTTGCACATCGCACTAGGTACTCATTTAAGGCTGAGTCGACCTAGGGGAGGCTCAGGACCGATTTAGATCATCGTCACCGGTGTTGGCCGTGAGCGGGAATCGAACTCGAGTGGCCGGGTTCGTAGCGCAGCGTGGCGCTAACCCGCCGCTCCACCGCTCCCTCCCCACCACCACCACCACAGTCCTAACCTCTGCACCCCCACAGGACTGTGAGATCACAGAGCGATGTTTGTCTTTGGGAGTCATCCTTAAACACGCCTCGCTGGGAAAACACGGCCCGGGGCCTTTGCTGTGTAACTCCGCTGACACGGCGACCGAGTGTGACCAGCCGCCAGTCCTGCCGAGATCTCCAACGAGGCTTGCGACGCGAGGGGGTTACAGAAGATGATGCAACTTGAACGAGTGGGTACGGTTAACCCCCCCCCCCACTCCTTGGGGGGGGGGGGCGGGGGGCTCAGTGACCCCCAATCGCACCGAAGGGCGGTCACGAGACGGGCCCCATTTTTGTCGATGCCGCAGAATTTTTGCCTTCGCAATGTTCCACGTGGGTACATTGTGTATATACACACACACATGTATACACACATGTATGTAGATATACACACATGTATGTATACACACATGTATGTATACACACATGTATGTATACACGCACACGTATGTAGATATATGTTGAATTTCTTTACTTTATTTAACCAGGAGACGATATATATAGCATCGATTCATGGAACATTCCCTCTTTGTACATTTTATATTTGTATATAGAAAACGACGTTACAATCTAGTGACGATGAGCTATTGATGCACGGCTTCGTATTGACAGCCCCATGCGCGCCCCGTGTTGAACTACCCGCGCCTCCCTGCACGCTGCTGGACACAGATGCAGCGCACGTGTATCGCGATCGTGCGTTGTTCGACGTTTCGGCTAAGGCGCGTGCTGCGGAATTAAACAAAAAAAACTGAACCGTCACCCTGCCGAACCGTGGGGGGAAAAACGCTAGGGGCTGCTCGCTTCGCCTCCTGAACAAGGCTCCCAGCACGTGGGTAGCCGAAACGTCGGACTTCGTGCTGGCGAGAGCGAGAGAGAGCGAGAGAATGAGCGAGAGAGAGAGCGAGCGAGAGAGTGAGCGAGAGAGCGAGAGAGCGAGCGAGCGAGCGAGAGAGCGAGCGAGCGAGTGAGCGAGCGAGCGAGGGCTACATAAAGCCCCGTTTAAAAAAAAATTTTACGAAATGATAAACGAAACAAAGTGCCGAATACACCGAGCATCTTCTTGTTTCCACTGATCGTAAAAAAAAAAGAGAGCGAGCAAGCGGTTGGTGGTGGTGGGCGCTCACGTGGATTACGTGCTTGTTGGAGTCCTCGTCGTCAGGCCCCACGTACATGTCCACGATGACCCTCTTCCAGAAGACGGCGTTCAGCTTGGCGAGGACGTTGTCCAGCCGCCAGTCGCCCCCTGCGGGGCCAGACGCGACCACGACGACAGCCCGAAGCTCGCCGACAATCGCGCAGCGCAAAGTTTGTTGGTAAAAAACTAAAAATGTCATTCGCGTCGGATCATCGTCGCGAGGGTTGCCACCTCGCCACAACACCCACCCACCCTCCTAGCCCCTGTGAGAGGCAGAGCCTCGATAGATGTGGCTGGTTTTCTTTTTTTCTTCTAGAGGCGGATTCCCCCACGAGCAATGCAACTTCACACGAAAGTTTAGTTCGTGTCGGATCGGTCTCTACGAGAGTTACCGTGAGCCCCACGTCACACACGCACGCACGCGCACGCACGCGCAGGTCATTCATTTAGGCTTTGACCAGTGTGGCCGCTTTTCTCTGGGGCGAGTTTCTAATAGCAACAGAACTTTACACTAAAGTCTCATCCATAATGGCTCATCGTTTCGAGAGTTACCGTGACGTCCTTCTCCGCCCTCTGTTATAAACAGGGCCAATGCTGCGTGATTAACGCGTTCGACCCGAGAGGGCTAGAAATCATTTTTAAAAAAACGAAAGCAGCCGGAGTAAACACCCAGCAAACAATCGAGATATTTTCAGCAGCACGGCGACACCGCAGCACCGCGTGCGTGCCAAGGCAGCCCGCCCACCCGCCCCTGCCGGGCAACTGCGGACGAGGGCTTCATCATCGCCCCGTGGGGCTGCTCCTCCGGTGGCGACGACGGCGATTCTGAGGTCTCCGTGAGAGATGTCGCTTGGAGCACGCGGTCTGGTGGGGGGCTCGAGTCTGGGGGGGGGGGGGCTGGAGTCTAAAGGGGGAGCTGGAATCTAGAAGGGGGGGGGGCTGGAGTCTGCGGGGAGGGGGGGGGAATATAGAGGGGGGGGCTGGAGTCTGGAGGGGGGGGCTGAACTGGAGTCTGGGGGGGGGGCTGGAATATAGGGGGGGGGGGCTGAAGTCTGGAGGGGGGGCTGGGGGGCTGGAGTCTCGGGGGCGTCTGGAGTCTGGACGGGGGGGGGGGTGGAGTCTTGGGGGGGGGGGCGGAGTCTAGGGGGGCCCTCTGCCCCGAGTGTACCGTGAGTCGTGGTCCAGTTGTCGTTGGTCACGGGCCAGTCGCCGATCCCGTCCAGGAGATTCAGCAGCGGCTCCGAATCCCTCTCCTCTATGGCAGCTGGGTGTGGAAACAAAGACACGAAGCACGCCACGCCACGCCACGCATACGCAGGGCAATCGGTGAGTGCCGCACACGAAGGTGCCGGAGGACTCACGTCCGCTGCGCAACAACTCCCTCCCACGATTGCTTTTTTTTTTCATCGCCATCTTCATCATCATTGTCAGACACGGTCAAGGAATCCACTGCTGGGTGAAGGGCCACTCACTCCAAGCAGCAGCCGCTGTGGCCGCCGCCGCCACCACCTCTCGCACCGAATTCGTGGCTCCATCTCCTCTCTGGGCGACCCCTCTCTGACCCGTTCCATTCCTTACCTGCCGCTACGATATTATTCTTGGCCGGCGGCCATTGTCATCAACACCATGATCATCATCAGCACCATGATCACCACCATCAGCACCATGAATTTTGTCATCAGCACCATGATCATCATCAGCACCATGATCATCATCATCAGCACCGTCATCATAATCAGCACCATGATCATCAGCACTATGATCACCATCGTCAGCACCATGATTTTTGTCATCAGCACCATGATCATCATCAGCACCATGATCATCATCATCAGCACCGTCATCAAATATAAGTTTTTGCGGGGGACGTCAATTCGCAGTTGCTGACTATGGAGGCCCAATACGCACAGCAGCTAGCGACGAGCGACCACGGGGAGAGAGAGACACGCAAACCCCAAATATACAGCAGCAGGCATCGTCAGGGTCGGGATCGAACTCACGACCTCCTGTATATCAGGCGAGGGAGTTAGCATATCCTAGTCACGGTGGCGCTTGCCGGCACCGTTATATATACAGCAGCAAAACGAGCGTTTACTTTTAGCAGTCGCTTGCTTACTCCAAGCGCCGCGACGCAATCACGGCAAGACGCAGGGGGCAGAATATCTGACGAGAGACGAGGAGGGGAGGACTTGAGGCGTGCCAACGCGATGTAGACAAAGACACGAATCGCTGCGTCGGCGCCCGGCCAGCTCCCGTCCCCGTGACACCAACGGGGCCGCTTCTCACGGCCACGTTCTGGCGCCACCGGCCGCCGCTGTCGTGCAATGCCGACAGATGTCGTCACCACCCAAAGGCGGCTCTACCCGCGTGCACCGGGCAGCAGGGAGGTTTCTCCGATTTGTTTCTGGCTATAGACGAGCTTTGAGCCCGTCCAAGAACGGGTGTATTGCGGTCAATGTGAAACTTGCAAGCGAAAGGCCAAGCGCGACGTAATGTTCATTGCATCCATTCGTGTGCAATCGGTAAGGGCGCTGTGACACAGCTATTTCATTTGGAGTTTATAATCCCGTGCTCATCACGACGTCCTTTTTACTTCGATGTCTCAGCAGCGTTACAGAGATCACGTGACGTGAGGGTTCTGCCTTTGTAGGAGGGTTGTGAGTTGACGCCGAGGAGGGGGGAGGAGGCGCCTTGCCACCCCATGTGGAGTGACGTCAGCCGCTAATTATTGTGAATGGGGGGGCTGTTCGATGTGGAGTGACGTCATCTGCTCATGATCATTAATGGCGGGGGGGGGGGGTGCTACATGTGGAGTGACGTCACCTGCTCATGATTATTAATAAGGGGGGGGGGTCCATGTGGAGGACGTCACCTGTTCATGATTATTAATGAGGGGGGCTGGTCGACTTGGAGTGACGTCACGCGCGGTACACACAGACATTATTGGATAATTATAGTAGTAGATTGTTTATTAGACCAGGTAATGACCATTGGAGCTGTTCACCCGTTGGTGTTCACCCGTTGTTGCTGTTCACCCGTTGTTGCTGTTCACCCGTTGTTGCTGTTCACCCGTTGTTGGTGTTCACCCGTTGTTGGTGTTCACCCGTTGTTGCTGTTCACCCGTTGTTGCTGTTCACCCGTTGTTGCTGTTCACCCGTTGTTGCTGTTCACCCGTTGTTGTTGTTCACCCGTTGTTGCTGTTCACCCGTTGTTGTTGTTCACCCGTTGTTGCTGTTCACCCGTTGTTGCTGTTCACCCGTGCCTGGCTATTTGCTTTAGCAGGCCATCCAGTTAAACTAAAAACCACAAACAAACAATTTGTCTTTTTTCACCAGGTAAGGGCCTCACTGAACGTCGACGTAGCTCTTTCTCAGCAGCGAGCTGCCCACCACAAACGACAGCTCAACGAAGTGGCTTCACACGTGGACATTGACAGCAGGCAATTCTCTCCGACGTAAATCTGTATTCCGATTCTGTTTCGTCCTGAACTTTGCTGCGTTGGAGAGGAAACATTGCCGCGTGCGTGCGCGCGCGTCTATTGGATCGTGTCCACGCGCTGCGCCGCGCGGATGCGTAGGCACGAATTCTGGCGTAAATATTCCGATGTCTGGAAGCAGTCGTTAGAGGCCATTATTGTCCGATAAACATCATTAAACTTCCCGAAGCGCCTTCCAAAGCATCGTAAAAGAATTATGGTATTTTTTTTTATTCTGGCAGCTTCGAGGAAAGCGCCTGCACAATACGAACCCCGGCACACGTATTTCCGTGCGCGAGGATATTTCGAACGATGGCATCATCATCATCACGCGAGGAAGAACCAGGCGTGCACACGCATGGATTCTTGTCTCGCCCTTTCCAAACACGCGTTTCGGCTCCACAGGATTGACGGGTATTTGGCGATAATGACGCCAAGTTGCTGAGTCGCAAGGCTAGATGACGCCATAGCCTGCGCGTGTGACGTCATCGCCCTGGCTGAAAATCCTTTCGCATAATCGCTGGAGGTTTTTTTTATCGTCCAAGTTTTTGAGCAACCCTGAAATTAATTTGTCCGGTACTCTCTCATGGGGTAAACGTCTAACAGCAACACAACTGAAACCGAAATGTCATTTAAATTGCATCATCTTGACGAGAGTTATCATGAGCCCCATGTTGCAGAGAGCATGGACAGATGGATGGACGGACAGGTGGATGGAGAGACGGACAGAGCTGATGTAATAATCTCAGCTCAAGTTGGACTCTGTCAAACGGTCAACCTTGAGTCTCTAAACCACTTACATTCGTTTATGCAGGATCTGTACAGCCGTTTGGCTTTCCTGATGGCTTCACGGTTGCCCGTGTCCGGCCTTTCGAGGACATCTGAAAACAGAACAACACAAGCGTGGGTCAAATCATAACTCCGCAACGAGCGTTCCATAGCGAGTGTTCCGTTGTGAGTGCTCCGTAGCGAGTTATCCATAGAAAGCTTTCCATAGCAAGCGTTCCACAGCGAGAATTTCCTAACGAGCGTTCCGTAGAGAGCGTTCTGTTGCGAGCATTCCGTAACGAGCGTTTCGCAGCGAGCGTTTTGTAATGAGCGTTTCGCAGCGAGCGTTCCGTAATGAGCGTTTCGCAGCGAGCGTTCCCTAGCGAGTGTTCCGTAGCGAGCGTTACGCAGCGGACAACCCACAGTCAGAGTTCGATTGTGAGCCGGGTGAAGGGTGGCACAAACCAGTGCTCAATTTCAGCCGAGTCTGTCCGAGCTGGCGAACCGGATAACAGTGATAACGATGATAGTGTACCCGGCACACCACGTCCAGTATATGTCCATGGCTACAACGAGCGGCGAACGGGCCCCGTGACGTCACGCGCCTCGCGGCCCCGGGCTGCTCAGCGGAGAGTGAGCGCCTCACAATCGTGAAGCTCCAAAGGTTAAACTCCCGGTTGGGGAGCTAACTCAGCCCGTCATCCCTCCGGGGTCGATACAATGAGCGACACTCAGCAGCAGGGAAAGCCAAGAGCGGTTGTCCTCTGGATCGACTCAGCAATAGAATTTGTATTAGCCTGGAGGAGGAATCCCATGAGCTATGACGCTCTCTTTTTCACAGATGGCAGGCCAGCGAGTTACGTGATGCAACGGGAATGTGGAATCACGTAGGTAAAAATTAAAATTAATAAAATATAAAATAAATAAAATAAAAATAAAAATCACGACGTTTCGGAGGCAACACAAGCTAAGAATATGAATCCTTGCAGTCACGAAAGCTAGGGAATGTGGAATTTCCACCACTGGGCTACAAGGGATGTCACCGGGTGACAAGCTACCAAAGAATCCTTCTTGATGGCTCGCTTGCGCCGGAGGACGCCGCAGTGGTGAGATGTCAACTACCTCGCCTGGTATACAGGAGATCGTGGGTTCGATCCCGACCCTGACGCCTGCTGTATATTTGGAGTTTGCAGTGTCTTTCTCTCCATGGCGACATGTTAGCTACCTCGCCTGGTATACAGGTCGTGGGTTCGATCCCAACCCTGACGCCTGTTGTATGTTTGGAGTTTGCAGCGTTTCTCTCCGCCATGGTTACGTGCAATTTCCCCCGCGTCCTCTGGGTTGGAAATCCGTATTTAGAATCAACACGCGTTCAAAGTATGTGGCTGCGATACATTCCCACACGTGATGAGCCACTTCGTTGAGCTGTCATTTGTGACGGCCAGGCTGCTTCTGAAAAAGAGCTACACAGTTCAGTGGGTGTTACCTGGTAAGATACAAAAATATATACGTTTAATTTTAAAGGTCGCTACGATTTGTTGAGATCACGGCCCGGCTCGACTGTTTGACCTTTGAGCACGACCTCCATGTCGTCCCGCAGCATGTCGAAGGTGCTGTAGTAGGAGCTGCGCTCAGGGATCACGTGCTTCTTGAGCCAGCCGCCGCACGCGAAGCCGTAGAAGTCCTGGCACGGGTCCACGCTGGAGTCCATGCCGTCCAGGATGCGCGCCGCTGAACTCCCCCCACGCGACACGGGCGAGCGAGGGAGTGGACGAGCGATGGAGCGAGTGGACGAGTGAGGGAGTGGACGAGCGATGGAGCGAGCGAGAGATAGGGCGAGTGATAGAGCAGGCGGGCGAGTGAGCGATGGGGCGGGCGAGTGAGGGAGTGGGCGAGCGATGGAGCAAGCGAGTGAGGGAGTGGACGAGCGATGGAGCAAGCGAGCGAGCGAGAGATAGGGCGAGTGATGGAGCAGGCGTGCGAGTGAGCGATAGGGCGGGCGAGTGAGGGAGTGAGATTAAGCAACTGACAAAAAAAACTACGAAACTGGGATAGTTCACGTCCCGGGAAGATTTTGCGATCTCCCAGGACAGCAGCTGACTTCACAACAATAGCAGTGTCCCGGGAGAACCAGGAGAGGTGGCAACCCGACTGATATTCCGGCACCTCAACGCTCCGTCGCGTGGCGTGACATTGACGGGGTCATCAGGAGACGATTCTGGTGGTGGCCTTGCTGCGCGTGGCCTTGTCAGGAAGCCACTGGAGCTTGTGCACGTTTAAACCATCATCAAGATTGAAAACTCATTTGTCCAGAACGATGTTGTTGTCCTTCCCTCGCACCTCCGATTAGCACGTTTGGTTATACGTACGGTGCGAAAGAAGTTCAACGTACGTACAAATCCAACGCTGTTTGCGAGGCTCCCTTCTCGCGGGTATCGAGGAGGTGCAATGCCCGGGCCTCTACCAGGAGATTGCCGTCAAGCAAAGTGTGGACTGATCTCCTGTCCCCTCTGTACGAGATAGAGTGTTGTCCCCTCGCATTTGTGGGTTTCTCCCGGTGCTCCGGTTTCCTCCCGACATACATAGTGATAGTAAACACCACTCATCACTGATCGGCTGAAAACGTCTTACAAATATCAACCCAATGTAGCAGCAGCAGCAGGACCACTGCTGAATAAAGAGTCATATTACTCAGCGTGGCTGCACGAATTGGCTGAAAGCAACTTATATATAGAGAACTGCAGATCAAGTGTTGGTAGTGCAGGCTCACCGCCTGGTTGCAGCCTTCCAGCTAGGTCTGCGGTTCCTACTCAGCGAATGTGAGATACGATTTCCATTAACGACGACGCTATATATATAAAAACTTAATAATTATATTGCGGGAGAAAGAAAACGTGTTTTTTGATTTGCTATTCTAATTTGGTTTCCGTTTCGGATACCTCGACCTTGTATCGTCGGGTCAAAATCCCCTCGATATCTGATTCCATTAGCGGTACAGTCTATAATGTACTGCAGTATATACGCTACTGTCGTCGGTGTCTGCATCACCGGCCCATGCTGCCCGCGCGCCGACCGGCGGTCAGCGGTCGTGCGAGAGGAGGTGGCGACGTGGGGAAGGAAGGTTTTGTACGGCGGAAGCGATGGAGCGGCGGTGGCGGCGGATACTCACAGGCCGCGATGCACTCGGGAGTGATGCACACATTCCAAGACGCCCTCTTCTCTGTGGGGGAAAACATTCACCAGGTCACCAGGTCAGCAGTCACCAGGTCACCAGGTCGCCAAGTCACTAAGTCACCAGGCCACTAGGTCACCGGGTCACCAGGTCACCACGTCACCAGATCAACAGGTCACCAGGTCACCGGGTTACCAGGTCACCAAGTCACCTGGTCACAGGTCACCAGGTCACCGGGTCACCAAGTCACCAGGTCACCACATCACCAGGTCACCAGGTCAGCAGGTCACCGGGTCACAGGGTCACCAGGTCACAGGTCACCAGGTCACCAAGTCACCAGGTCACAGGTCACCGGGTCACCAGGTCACGAGGTCACCGGTCACCGGGTCACCAGGGCACCAAGTCACCGGGTCACCGGGTCACCTGGTCACCAGGATAAACACAGTGAGTGACGGACTCTGGCACATGGCTGCCTGCCAGTCCGCGTGCCCCCCTCTCCTGTTGCCGTCAACGCAACTCCCTCTGGCATCTTCACACTGAAACACTCCTCCACTCGGGCGCACTCATTCCAGCACACTCCTTCACACTGAAACACTTCTTTCACACCATCGATCGCGGCAACACTCCCATCGTTCCCAACGATACTCAATCCCACCGCGACACTCCATCACTCGCGCGAACAGGTGCACTCCTTCACTTCCGCGGCAAACACTCCCATTACTGTCACGACAAACACTCTCTGTCCTCACTGTTGCGACAAACACTCCCACATCCTCACTGTCACGACAAACACTCCCCCATAATCACTATTGCGACAAACGCCCCCCCGTCCTCACTGTCACGACAAACACTCCCCCATCCTCGCTGTCGCGACAAACACTCCCCCATCATCACTGTGGCGACAAACACTCCCCCATCATCACCGTCACAACAAACACTCCTCCATCATCACCGTCACAACAAACACTCCCCCATCATCACCGTCACAACAAACACTCCGCTATCATCACTGTCACGACAAATACTCCCCCGCCGTCCTCACTGTCACGACAAACACTCCCCCATCCTCACTGTCGCGACAAACACTCCCATCACTGTCGCGACAAACACTCCCCCATCATCACTGTCACGGACACAAACATTCCCCCATCCTCACTGTCGCGACAAAAACACTCCCCCATCCTCACTGTCGCGACAAAAACACTCCCCCATCATCACTGTCGCGACCAACACTCCCCCATCCTCACCGTCGCGACAAAAACACTCCCCCATCATCACTGTCACAACAAACACTCCCCCATCCTCACCGTCGCGACAAAAACACTCCCCCATCATCACTGTCACGGACACAAACACTCCCCCATCCTCACTGTCGGGACAAAAACACTCCCCCATCCTCACTGTCGCGACAAAAACACTCCCCCGTCATCACTGTCGCGACAAACACTCCCCCATCATCACTGTCGCGACCAACACTCCCCCATCCTCACCGTCGCGACAAAAACACTCCCCCATCATCACTGTCACAACAAACACTCCCCCATCCTCACCGTCGCGACAAAAACACTCCCCCATCATCACTGTCACGGACACAAACACTCCCCCATCCCCACTGTCGCGACAAAAACACTCCCCCATCATCACCGTCGCGACAAACTCCCCCATCCTTACTGTCGCGACAAACACTCCTCCATCCTCACTGTCGCGACAAACACTCCCATCACTGTCGCGACAAACACTCCCCCTTCATCACCGTCGCGACAAAAACACTCCCCCGTCGTCATCGCGCACCTCGCTCGGCCACGTAGAGCACGGCGAGCACCACCACGGCGCACGTGAGGGCGCACAGCAGGAGCGCCGCGCCGAGTCGCAGCGGCGCCGACAGCCGCTGGCGCCGCGGCTTCGTCTGCTTCTCCACGATGTCCATTTGGCTTTCCGACTTCGCCATGACACGCGATCTGGGACCACGCGGACACAACGCTCTTTCAACTTCACATGGCGGCGGCGGCGGGGAGGTGGGGGGGTACACGCGCCGCGGAGGACGTACACCGTGCAGACGGAGCGCCACGGTGGCTAGGAGATGTTGACTCCCTCGCCTGTATCACACGAGAGAAAGAATACAGCGATTCAATACAAACACACTGCAGCCTCTTGGCTGAAACAATTCACAGAAACATTTAGGAGCGGTTGGTTGCGGGCTCCCAGCCACGTGCACTCAGCACAGGGCAGCGGGGGGGGGGGGGGGCTGAGCGCTCCGTGCAACAGCCCAGGTACGATGGGCGCCGCGGTGGCGATTAGGATGTTGACTACCTCGCCTGGTGTGCAGGAGGTCGTGGGTTCGATCCAGATCCTGACGCCTGCTGTTGTATATTTTGAGTTTGCGTCTCTCTCTCTCATCATCATCACGGTGGCTAGGAGATGTTAACTCCCTCGCCTGGTGTGCAGGAGGGCGTGGGTTCGATCCAGACCCTGACGCCTGCTGCTGTATATTTGGAGTTTGCGTCTCTCTCTCCACGTCGTTGCTTGGATTTTCTCCGGGTCATCCGGTTTTCCCCCCTCCACATTTACAATCAACATGACGAGTTTAGAGTCATTTTGGCTGCTATACAAATGTCCACGCGATGAGCCAACTTCGTTGAGCTATCATTTGTGATAGCGAGGTCGCTTCTGAAAAAAGAACGACATGGCAGCTCAGTGGGCCTTTCCTGCTGCTAAAATAAAAAATAGTTTAAAAATAATTGAGTTTCACTGGAGAAATGGAATCGGCAGAATATGCGAAACCGGCCCCACGTGCGTAGTAACTCCGAGGCGTTTTCTCGTCGTGAGACCACGTGGGGATGGGCGATTGCCTGGGGAAGCCTTCATCCAGTAGTGGATAGATCATGGCTGATGATGATGATAATGATTCAATGCGTATATCTGGAGCGTAATTCTGAATTCGATGTTGAAGCAAATATTTGTGTCGCCTGGCGGTAGAGCTCGAGGGATCAGGATGAGGGAGTCTCGGCAGAGACACTGACCCGAGACGCCGCGACGACACGAGCACAGCGCGTACGGCGATCCAGCAAGTCGGAGCCGAAACAACGACACGTTCGAGAAGAACAAAACACACGCCTGGGATACAAACACTCGCCTGGGATACAGACACCCGCCTGGGATACAAACACACTCCTGGGATAAAGACACCCGCCTGGGATACAAACACACGCTCAGAAGGACGAGAGAGAGAGGGAACACAAAAGACACAAAAGTCCAAGTCTCAAGTTGGTTTCTTGTGACCGGCTCTGAACACAGGGACCAGGATGCAGTCTCATCTGCAAGAGTGCCCTGGGGGCATCATGGGTCTGCTGCCAGTCGATGCCTGCTGCCAGTCGATGCCTGCTGCTGCTGCTGCCTGCTGCTGCTCTGCGTGTGCGTGGCGTAATCCCACAATTGGCCGCCCTTGCGCATGACGCCAGGGGATCTTCATCGCCCCGTGTGAGTTCATCAGACGGCGCGTAGTAGCTCTCGTCGTAGTGGTAGGTTTGTGGTTGATACACATCGCGGTATTAAACAGGGCGGCCGCTAGATTCGAACCGCGAACTTCTGCAGCAACAACAACAACGACAGGCGGAGCGTCACCAGCCCAAGGATCAACAGCAGAGCGACACAACCTGGCCTCGAATCCAGCCGGGTGTGCTCTGGTCGCCGGCAATGGAAAATAAATCCACACCCGACACGTCACGAGCAGTATCTCTCTCTCTCTTGATCTCTCGCTCGATCTCTCTCGATCTCTCTGTCTCGCAGCTGTGGCGACGAGCAGCCACGCGCCTCCTGCGTGCCCCACTTCACCAGCCCACCCGGTGGATGTGCAGAGAGACCCCCCCCCCCTAAGTCCTGGTCACAACCGAAGCGAGGGCGACAACGGCGGCGAACCCGCGCGCGCCTCGGCGGCAGGGCGCTCGGGGGGCAGCTGGACGCGCCACGTGGACAACGTCAATATTCACAGGGAGCAGGAGGCGTCTTTTAAACAACAGCAAACACAGCCGCCACGGAAGCCAGGTGCGAGCCGCATGGGAATTCGAGTGGCAGACGTGCGCTTCCAGGGCGCGTCGAGCCAAAGGACATGTCCAGTATAACTTGATTTCTTCCAAACAGCAACTTGGTGTTTTATCCGGGAGTAGGCCGCGCCGAGTTGCTTCAAGCGCCAGGAGTCCCCTTCCTGCCACATCGTGTGTGCCTGTTTAATTGTCTGCGATGTTTTCAGATAATTAGTATTTGTACTCGCGTGGTGCGGTAACCACAGCCTGCTCGCTCGCTCTCTCTCCCTCTCTGTGCGCTGCGCTGTTTGGTCGTGCCGCGTGCTGCCCACACGATGTCCGACGTTCCGTGCCGCGTGCTTGAGAGCGCGTTCGGTTCCCGACACGCGGCACCAACACGCGCAGTCTCAATCCACTGCTGGATGAGGGCCTCCTCGTGTGGGCGTTATCTCACACACTTCACCACGCTGGGTGAGTGACACACTTCACCACGCTGGGTGTGTGACACACTTCACCACGCTGGTTGGTCAGTGCAGGTTTGTGAAGTTGTGGAAGCATGGTTGTCTTGCAGGCTTTTAATTACAATGATTTATACTCGCACTTTATTGTAGTAATTTGGTGAACAACCACTTATAAACTCATTCTTGACCACTCATCACACGAGTCGATATGCATTATGATAACATACCCACTCTACACCTCCTTCCCCACGCATCTCTGACCATTCACATTCACGACATAGCCATTGGTCACGTCCCATCAGCTCCGCGGCCTTCCCTTCTGCGTGTTATTGTTGTACGTTCAGCAGCAGTGGTTCGTTTAACAACGAGCAGCACTCTGGGCCGATTCACACTATCAGCGTCTCAGCGACACAGCCATGCCTGGCTCTTGTACGGACGTACGATGTCGTTCTCTTATTTTCTCCCCAAAGCATCCTCGATGGCACCTGGCGCCAAAACACAACGACGAACCCGCGCCCCGCTCGTTGTCACCGCTGATTGCGCATTCCACGTGCAGAGCGAGCTCTCGCACGGCCAGGCAAGTCACGTGGCGACTTCCACGTGGGGTTCAAACTCCGCGTGCTCGCTGCCTACGGAGGTAGCGAGCACGCGGACACAGCCACCGCGTCCGTCTGACACGTGTCGTCAGCCTCTGTCGGTCCATCCACTGCTGGATGGGAGGGCGCTCCTGACGTCATTCGTCGAGGTTGTTTGTGTGACCATACTTCACCACGCCGGTGGAGGCAGGCAGGTGTGGGTGGCGCAGGGCCGACTGGTCAAGATTTCACTCGTCATCGATGACAGCCGTGGCAGGGAATCGAACTTAGGCTGCTGGGTCCATAGCGCGGTGCGCTAACCACCGTTCGCCCGACACGCACTTATACATACAATCACGGGTGCTGAGCCCAAAACGTCAGGCGGTCAGTAACAAACGGCACCTTTGAATTGTTTATGAATACGTACGCTTACAACGCAGTCGGTACAACATTCAGGCTCGGCGCACATTCATCCTTTAAACTGAACAGTATGATCAATATGACAATTATATAGATTCTCACAACCATTCGTTGAACTTTTTTTAAATCACGATACACTTGCACGTACACCAGCGTCAGCACGCATGCATCGCCGATACAGATGGACGTTTGGATGTGACACTTGGTCGATGACGCTGCCGATTGTGTTTCCTACAACGAAGGATTATTGGCCACGAAGTGATTGCCGTGGGCAGGAAGGAAATCCAAACAAACCGAGAGAAGTGCTGCAGCACAGACAGACGCTGCGAGAGAGAAAGAGAGGGAGGGGAAGTCGGCGTAGAGGACACACACACACTCGAGCGAGCGAACGAGCGTGCTCTCTGATATCAGTTGAACACGTTTTGGGGCTTTAGCGACCGATAGTGTTCATAATAAAGGTGGTTGGGTTAGATGGCGTAAGTATACATGTTGTGTTGTATCCCTCCACCACCCGACACAGACAATTAGTGAGGGATTTGTCATGTCAACAAAACGCCAATCAGTTTACTACTTCAGCCCATCGGTGTGTTGGAGAGTAAATCCACAACATTTACTATTTGAGTAGTAAGTACGACGTTTCGCTGGTGATGACATCCAGCATCATCGGGCGATTTGCCAGAATATCGTCCGAACTAAAAACGAAAATGCTCGCGGGTGAGGAGTCAGGAGCCCGTGAAGGGCTGGACGGCCACCTCGGGACGACCACCACGACCACCACGACCACCACCACAACCACCACAACCACTACGACCACCACTACTACCACAACCACAATGACCACAACCACCACGACCGCCACGACCACCACCACGACCACCACGACCACCACCACCACGACCACCACCACAACCACCACGACCACCACAACCACCACAACTACCACGACCACCACAACCACCACGACCACCACAACCACCACAACTACCACGACTACCACAACCACCACGACCACCACAACCACCACGACCACCACAACTACCACGACCACCACAACCACCACGACCACCACAACCACCACAACTACCACGACTACCACAACCACCACGACCACCACAACCACCACGACCATCACGACCACCACGACCACCACTACCACCACCTCCACCACGACCACCACGATCACCACCACAACCACCACCACCACAACGACCACGACCACCACGACCACCACGACCACCACAACCACCACAACCACCACGACCACCACAACCACCACGCTCGGGAGACGGGGCGATGGTGACATCGGCTCCGGTGCAGATCGCCTGCGGTTGGGCGGATCGCTCATCTACGTGGCGGGATCTGCGAGCGGCGGCGGCTCGCAGAGGCCTTCGTCCAGCAGTGGATGGAGCATAGCTGCTGCTGCTGCTGCTGATGGAGTGTCTAGTTGCTCACGAGATGATGATGGTGTGTCTAGTCGCTCACGAGATGATGATGATGATGGAGTGTCTAGTTGCTCACGAGATGATGATGGTGTGTCTAGTCGCTCACGAGATGATGATGATGATGATGGAGTGTCTAGTTGCTCACGAGATGATGATGGTGTGTCTAGTCGCTCACGAGATGATGATGATGATGGAGTGTCTAGTTGCTCACGAGATGATGATGGTGTGTCTAGTCGCTCACGAGATGATGATGGAGTGTCTAGTCGCTCACGAGATGATGATGGTGTGTCTAGTCGCTCACGAGATGATGATGATGATTGAGTGTCTAGTCGCTCACGAGATGATGATGGTGTGTCTAGTCGCTCACGAGATGATGATGATGATGATGATGGAGTGTCTAGTCGCTCACGAGATGATGGTGTGTCTAGTCGCTCACGAGATGATGATGATGGAGTGTCTAGTCGCTCACGAGATGATGATGGAGTGTCTAGTCGCTCACGAGATGACGATGGTGACAGCGAGCAGCACTTACCAGAACATGTTGCTGGATTCTCTGATGTCCCGTGACATCATCGCAGGCGGGGGCTTGGTCCGTCAAGCGAATGAGGCCGTCGTTCCGACTGAAGGTCAGCAACTTCGCTTGAAATTCACTACCGAGCCTGTGGTCCTAAATTATAATAATAATTAAATGTCATTTAATAATTATTATAATTATTATAAAAAAGACTGAAGCAGCCAACGCTTCTATAATTTCATGAAATATCCTCCAAAAATGATAAAAATCTTCAGAATAAGCAATCGGCGAAATAAACGATCAGAACAGTTCAACTATATGTAAATATATTATTGGGGTGGTAAAAAACTAAATATATAACCGGTTGTTAATGAACGCAAAGCGGCGGGGAACAATTTGCCGAGTGGGATTTTGCGAGCGGAGCAATCGGTCGCAGGGAGCGCGGGGCCTGGATGGGAGCCGTGGGCGCCTCTCTGCGACTCGGCAGCGAAATGTGAAGAACACCGCCGGCTCGCTCGCCTCCCCTCCCTCCCTCCTCCCTCCCTGCCTCCACGTATACCCCCACCCAACGGGCACTCCACCTCCTCCCTTGGCCTCCCATCATCATCATACCAATCATCATCACCACCACCATACTCCCTCCCTCCCCTTCTTCTCCCCTCCCCTCCTTCCCTCCCTCCACCGGGACAATGCTCTTCCTCACATGGCGGTCTCCCATCACCACCACCACGCCATAATCATAGCAATCATCATCACCACCACCACCACCACGCCATAATCATCATAGCAATCATCATCATCACCACCACCACCACGCCATAATCATCATAGCAATCATCATCACCACCACCACAGTCCCTCCCTCCCTACATGTTCCTGCCTCAAGCTCTCACTACCACCAACACGATCATCGTAATTACCATCATGATCATCATCATTGTCACCTTACCAATCGAACAACAACTGCCGTTCGCTACGATGTGACGGTGACGTCACCACGCCGCCTGTGTGCCAGGCTAGGTGCACTGCTGCTGCTGTTTGTTTTATTGCAAGAATAACAATTAAAGTGCAGGGGCATTTTGGCTTAAGTGAATGAAAGTTGAAAAAGTAAAGTTTTGATTGCGTCACAATTCAGCGCCGTGGAGGCAGCGGGGGTTTGTGGATCACGCACGCGTTGGGGATCTCTCGTCACGTGGGCACCGACGAGGAGCCGTACTGCCCAGGAGAAGGCAGCGCAGCAAATGTGGAACTCCGCCTGTTCCATGTGCACGAGGCGGAGTGTCGCCTTGCTCACACGCGCGGATTCTCCCCGGGCCCTCCCGTTTCCTCCCCACGTGCAAGCGCTCATTCAACGGCCGATAGCATCCTCATGTATGGAGGACCGCAGAGCGCAGGCACAATTGGTGGTGGGGCTGGGTCACCCCCCCTCCTGGCTGCTGCCTCCTTCCAGCTCGTCGTCTCACGTCTGGGATTCCTCGTCGATTGGTTCACGAATGACGTCGCTGCTCTCTTTCAAAATACAGTCCAGTACATCTAAAACTAAAAACATCATCACCATCGTTGTTGTTGTTGTTGATTGTTGTTTTGTGCGTAGTCCGTGTCTCGATCTGGGGGGAGAGGAGGGGGGTGGTTGTTGTTGCTGCAGGAATGCGTTGTACGGTCGTCATGAGCCGGTGAACAAACAAATAAATGAACAGCATGAATCAACAAATACATGAACAACATGAATAAACAAATAACGAACAGCTCGCCCAACGATGGTGGCATCTGCACGGGAGGATCGAGCGTCGCGTCGCAGAACGTCAGCAGCACACAAACCCATCCACTCGCGTGTGCCAGGCACGGTGCTGCTGCTGTTGTTGTTGCTGTTTTGTTGCTGCAGTTGCTGTTGTTGTTGCTGCTGCTGTTGCTGTTGTTGCTGCTGCTGTGCTGTTGTTGCTGCTGTTGTTACTGCTGTTGTTGCTGCTGTTGTTGCTGCTGCTGTTGTTGCTGCTGTTGCTGCTGCTGTTGCTGTTGTTGCTGTTGTTGTTGTTTGACGAGATCGGGGGCATTCCAAGGCGGTGCATTTCTCCGTCAACGTTCGAGTCGGCGAGAATGCTCGCCACGACGGAAGGACAAAACAAAACGAAAACCCACGGAGGACTCCCTTAACCGAGCGGACTGCCAGTCGGGTAGCGTTGTGAAACTTCCACACGCGTGGCTGCTGCTCCTGCTGCTGCATCTGCTACTGCTGCAACTGCTGCAGCAGCGCTAATTTGAAGGCCATTACCGGAGCGCCGGGCGCCGCGTGGCGAATGTGAGAGGTCACGCAGCTCGCGGTGCGCTGGGGGCTTTCAAGTCGCCGGGCTGATTGAGCGATTTGGCAGCTCACGATGCGACCTCCGGTCACTCGGAGAGCGACTGGAGGGGCGGGGCGGGCGGGCGGGGATTTCAACGAAATTTCCAGCAAAAAAATAAACCGACTTTGTTGATTTATTTACAATTGCCCCAAAAGTGAAATAATGAGAGTCATGGTGAGCACGGAGATCTGCGGGGGCCAGGCAAGACACCTGCAGGCCACTGCAAGGCGCGGGTGATGTGTAACACGCGTCAGTAACACGTGTCAGTACGCCTTCCTCCATGATAGCGGGGGAAGAGACCAGCGTGGTGAAGTATGGTCAAACAGGCCCCCCAGGTGACCAACACGGCGGGGGAGACCCTCATCCAGCAGTGGACTGAACAGGGTCCTTTACAAGAGGCCCTCTTTCGAAGGGCGAATTTTTTTTATTGGAATTTCACGAGCCGCAATGCACTGTGGGCGTTACGAAACGGCATTCCTTAAAGAGCCACAGGTTTGGTAACCCCGGCGATGCGTACACGACAATTGCTCGCTCGCCCAGGGGCTCTCAGCAGACTATTTTGTATTTGTGTTTTTCCAATCAATAAAAAGCAGGCCTTGCTCATTCACCCCACTCGCTCATCTCGTACAAACAAAAACACACGAGAGAGAGAGAGAGCGAGGACGAGAGAGATAGCCGCGGAGAGAAAGGTGGACTGAGAATTATTTAACAGCAGCCCGCTGTGGTGAGTAAAGAGTTCTTATTAAGTTCAAAGTCACACTCAGATTGCCTCGTTCCTCCTCTGTGCTCGCTTTGCTGCTGCTGCGGTGATGATGATGAAAGCGCTGCTCGGAGCGCAGCTTGGCTGGACACCTAACGAATGGATCCCGCCGTGAATATTTTTTTGCGATAAATAAATAAGTTCAGTATCCGGAGCCAACCCCCCCTTGCCCCCCCCCCTTTTAATGAATTATTTATTCCCATCTAAAACGCACACTTTGATTATACTGCCGCGCAGGTACACACGAACGAAAGCGGCAACACACACACACAGGTTCAACGAATCGATTCAATCCCGCACATCCGATTAGCACGGTTGGCATGCGTAGGGTGCGAAAGAAGTTCAGCATACACAAGTGCATACAAATCGTGGTTAGCCTGGTGGTGGTGACTGCTGTGCACGTGACCTGTAATCACGAAGCACTCTCGTAGATGGGAAGAGACACGCACGCGCACACACACGCGCACCTCACCACGTGCACTTACTTACGTAAGGCTCATCCGACATAGGGGAGAAGCCCAACAACAGGTCAGAGACATTCGCTACCGATGTGGAAATCGAACTCGGCTCGCCGGGTCCGTGAGCGCGCGCCCACCACCACCACCGCGACCACTTGCGCCACCGCTCCGCCACGTGCCACACAGACATGGGCGGACGCACGGGGGGAGGGGGGGGGTCCGCACGCGGTCACGGTCACGCGGTGTCAGCGCTCATTCCGCTCCGTTATGCCGGGATCGGCCACGACACCGCAATCCAACCGGGAGTTAAATCTCATTTGCTTCGCAGCACGGTACCCCCCCCCCCTTCCCTCCCCGTCACGACAACCCCCCCCCCCTCTCGTATTACCACCACACCTGCTTTCAGACCACAGCTCACAACTCCATCCCGAAGGTCGGCACCTCATAATAATCATAATAATTTACTCATCTAACTGCGAGGGCCACGTGCAGTGGGTGGGGATTCTGAATCAGGAGGGTCTTGCCGCTACGCTGTTTGTGTTTAAATTTTAAAATATTTTTTTATTTCAGTTCAACACGTAGGCTTTCGCGACCAATGTCATCCATAATGCAGGCTTTTTGGATTAGACCTCCAGATATGTGGAGGATTTCTCCACAAATCTAGCTGTCGCCTGATGAAGCTAGTTGTAATTACTGGCGAAACGTCGTACTTAGATTGTAAATGTTGTGGCTTTGCTCTCCAACACACCGGCGTGCTGTACTAGTGACGAATTGGCACGTTCTGTTTACGTGACAAACCTTACTAATTGGCTGTGTCGGGTGGTGGCGGGTTTAACGACACATTTATATATTTACGCGATCTAACCCCAACCCCGCCACCCCCTCCCCCTGCATTATGGATGTTTACTGCCATCGAATAAATGATGGCGAGTGTTTTACACACGTGGCAGGAAACGGGAGCACCGCGAGAAACCCCCACGCAACACTCGACACCGCTGCCAGGCGGATACGGACGAGGTGCTGAGGAGTGGGCCACTTGCAGGGCCGCCTTGGCACGGCGAGCCCGGGGTGACGGCACCTGCTCGACGCACAGCCACGCGAAGAGGAGGAAGAAGAAGAAGAAGGGAGTTTCACAACAACATCTGTGCGCGATGATCCAAATAGTTTCATTGCTTATCGGATTGCTCCGGTATCAATACAAATTCAGATTTGGAACCTTCACTGCTTCTGATGTCTCCACACACAGCGCTAGACCACGTGGCAGCCACGTGCAGCGGCTTAGCCACCACCGCCGCCACCACCGCTACCACCGTCACCACCACCACCGCTACCACCACCACCGCCGCCACCACCACCGCCACCACCGCCGCGACCACCACCACTGCCACCGCCACCACCACCGCTACCACCGCCACCACCGCCACCGCTACCACCACCGCCACCACCGCCACCACCGCTACCACCACCACCGCCAACACCACCACCACCACCGCCCAGCTCCTCTTCTCCTCGCCCGCCGCCCGTGTTGGCGATGATGCGATCGGTGCCTGGCGCCCCCGCAGCAGAAGCGTGCCGAGCGACTCGTGCGAGGCCGCCGCTGATTGGTGCGGATCGTCGTTGCCACCATTGTCACGCGCCGTGATCATCCGTCGCAGAAGTCCGCGGCTGTTAGACCGCAAGCCCCGGATGAAGCTTCCCTCCAGAATAGACTCGAAAGTTCCAGCTGGGGCCGTGGGTGTCCTCGCACGCGCAGCCAGTGGCTGCTCACGCCACCGCGCTACGAAGCTGTCCCTCCGAGTTTGATTTCCGCTCACGGCCAACGCCAATGACGATTATTTGAACGCCTGATGGGCCTCCTCTTGGTCGACTTAGCCTTAAACGAGTACCCGTGTGCGGTGTGTGTAAACATGAGTACAGGGGAGACAAAGGCGGCCAGGC